TTCAACAAAATCGAGTTCAGCTTAGCCGAGTTCTTTTTGGACAGACCCCCCCTCGCTGTGAGATGGGCCAAAGCAAACCGGCTCTTTTGGGGTTGACAACCGTCCCACGTGTACATCCACATAGCCGCTTGTTAGCTCCGTGTCCTCTGAGGAACGGACGGGGAATTTACACTGAATTGTTGTCGGTAATTTTAAAATATACAAATTAGAAATATGCACTTAAAGTATGAATCAAAGAACAGACAAACTGAGGCATGGGCGTAAATCCCAGGGAATGAAGGGAAACCTCCCCCCCCGCACACGTACACGCATTTTAAGGTGGGGGGATGGGCTATTGAATCATCCCCACTTTTTGTGATGAGCAAACACATTAGAGCGGATTGTGAAGAATTTTCAGGAATTCCCAATGAATAAAATTGTTGCAATATCCCTAAAATAGGAAAGCAATTATTAAAGCCATAAATATACCATTCTGATGTAAGATTCTGCATGAAATTGATACAATTACAGATGTAGCTGTTTATCATGAACATCGTCCTCTATAGAATGTGTCACCCCCCTACTTTTCGCATTTCCATGTACTGCCTAAATTTTTTGTGAAATGTCGTCGTCCAACGTCAACTGAGCTGAATATTTTGTTTGCCAAATCTCACGTAGAAGGAAATTATAATGTCCATCTCCGAACGTATCCCATGTAAGTAGAGACGCCGACCTGCGAAGAGGAAAGTCTATGAAATCCAATTTCGGTGAAACAACTCGACTTTAGAAAATTGTGTATGGGGAGCACGTGCGGCTGAAATTACATATTGCATAACCGTTATTATATTTAAATAACCCTCTGCTGCCTCAATTTCCTCTTGAGAATTAATTGGGAATTTATATAAAGGGCTGTTCAAAATGACAACAGTTTCTACCATGTACAGGATGACGGATTCGTAGTCATTCGAATAGAAAGAAGGGCAGAAATCAATTAAGATGATCGTTGGCCATCGTGGGGTTTTAATTTTAATTTTAGTTTTAATTTGGGAAAGTCCCCACGAACGGATCTAATAGTTAATTGCAAATCCGTTTCGTGTCGAAAGAACGTGCCTCACTTGTGTTTACTTAGCTGCAAATGGCATTGAGCTTAATTGGAAAATAATGTATTTGAGGATCTGAGCGGCAAACGTTGTCCATTAGGATCCCTGAAATGTTTGTCATTAAAACAGCATATATGACATTTCTATAACATTTTTGCTATGTTAGATGGCAAACACAACCACCCGGTGAGCAAACAATAAACTTTATTATTTTACATATTTCACATGTGGCACGACCTCCTTAAGTTTAGTGAGAACGCCTGAAGTCAAATCAGAGTACCCTCAGATTTAGCCACAAACAAATTGACAAATGCTATTTTAGTGTATCAGCGCAGTTTGTAATGCCAAAGACAGCCAGCAAGTGAATAATTTTAATGCATAAAATGTTAATGTATGTTTGAATTGGTGTTCTTCCAGACAGGATAAGATCATGACTATATGCCAAGAATGAGGCTCAATTTCGCGGCACTGTTAAGCACACAGCTTTACGCTAACAGAGGGTCCGCTTATTTCATGGCGACCGTAAGCGGTAAGTATAGAGGGTGAAAGGCTTTTACCTTGCAAGAAAAATTTGCTCAACTTAGGGACGTAACAATGAAAATCAGCACAGCATCCGTCAGATGTTCGCCGTGACATTTTGCGAAATGTTTAGCAATTAAAAACTGCTTAAAGGAAGGCAGCGCTGTGAAAAAATGGGCAGTCCCCGTGCTGATTGTGCTTCGATTCGTTTTCATTGTGCGCTTTTCCTTATGGGAGCGGGGAGGGGCGATTGAAAACTCTATTGGAAAGCGTACATGAAAGCATACAAAGCGTGATGTCATCAGAGTGTAGACGTGAATTTTTAAGGCATTTGAATGTCAGAATGCTATGAATTCGTGTTAAAATAGAAAGAGAACGTTTGATCATTGCATAGGTTAATGTTTGTGTAAAGATAGTTGCCCCAGTTAGCCATCTGTTCCATTTATCTTTATTTATTCAGCCATATGACGCCATAAGAAAACGTAAGCTTGATGTGAAATTGGTGAGCTTGATTCCCTTTTCAGTTCACTGCTCAGCAAATAGTCAACATTCCCTGTTTATATGACACTGAAATTGTTATTGAAGCTGTTTCTTTATGATGATAAATAAATGAAGTTAGTTATGGCGCCTTTAACGCAAAGTCTCAATGCACTGACTTTTTTCCCATGCATGTTGATCTGACCTGCATGCCTAGTTGCAGGTCTTCAGGGTGAATTTCAACAATTATACAGTAGTTAAAAAGCACCCTGTTATTTGGAAATATCTTGTGCCTTTGATTTTCAATGGTCGTCCACAACCGTAATTATAGCAAGTTTCTTTTAAGACTTCCACTCTAATGTGGGGCTACTTAAACAACGGCGAACGGTTGAAATTGTTGAGTCGCTTGTCCCAATTTTAAGTGACCATCATGGCTGTGGCAGGAATTGCCTTGCGCGTGCCAATTTAGAGATGCTGGGCTGATGTTTCTTTATTCTCCATTTTCCTTTAAATCAAATTTCTCCCGTTAACGGTCATTCAGGCTATATATTTTGTTACAGTGAAATGAAAAGTGGGTCCTCGACCGAATTCAAATGGATTCCTACTGGTGGAGATGCAGATCTTCAAAGAGGAGTGACGATGAAGCCTAATTCTACAAAACCAACCGACATTGGAAAATTTTATTTATTTCTCGTTGTTTGATAATAATTGCTCATATTATTATGATTCTGATTTATTGATAAACATACATTTGTAGCTATTCGGTTAAATTGCAGCAAAATCCAAAACCCATAAACAATTACAGTGAAACGACATGTTAGGACATAAAACAGGCAGAAAGATAAATACTCAAATGAGAAGTATATATATATGTATATACATCACAACGCATAGATTTGATAAAAACAAAAAGAGAATCCATTCAAATATGTGCCAGACATGTGCAAAATTAATTTATTTAAAGACTACATGTTCTTAATAAGATTGAGGAGATGTGGGATTGCACTGTTTTAATGTGCTGCAGATGATAACTATTTCTGAGAGAATAATGCGCTTTGATTTTCACCTGCTTCAGTAGCTAATGATTTTTTTAAAAATCCGAGTTGTATAAATCTAACGCAATTTTATGACATGTATTTTGTATGCGACACTGGAGGGTGGTAAGAGTCTGATCATAACTTATATACTGTGGACCGAGAATTATTCTAAGTGCCCTCTTTTGGGTTCTTTCCAGCCGGGTTATTTGTTTTTCTGTTAAGCCAGCATTCCACACAGGTATCGCATACTCTAAAATAGGGCGCACATACCTTTTAAATATCGTAATGAAATCATCTACTGAAAGGTTGAATTTTTAACATGAACAATTTATTGCGAGCTTTACCATACACGTCGGAAATCCCATTTTAGATTGGAACTTGTTGTGACACCCAAGATGTTGATAAAGTCAACAACTTTTAACTCTTTAGAGCAGATCTAAAGAGCAGACCTTTAGAGATTCATATCATTCTTACTAGCCTATTCACGATATAACTGCACATAGACACTTTGCTGGCTAATTTCCTAATGGGAATTGGACAGCGACTATTAATCTATTTTTTTTTACATTTTTAATGTGTACCGTGGATGCGATATTATGTAAAACACAGGGAGGGCCCGTATCTTCCCATCAACTACATTTACATACTCAAGTTGACTTGAAGCTAAAAACTAATCTTGGAAAGGTCACTCCAGTGTGAGATGCTTTTATTCTTCTCAATTAAAGACACAGGACAATTACAAAATAAGGGAATATAAAACTATCGAAGGACACATGCAAAAAAAAACCTGTTAAGGATTATTCAGTGGTGTTTCCTTAGTACAGCATCAAACAGAAATGCATTATATTACTTTATTCCATTAAAATTTAAGGTTTCATCGGCCTTTGTCACCCCCGCCAGTTTGTTATTCATAACGGCCGAGGTCTCCCTTGCATGTGGTTTCCCTTACTCAGCCCCCCCCCGTTCAGGCACCCGAGCGTGCGACTACGATTTTCCATCCATACAGTCGAGTTTCAGCATTTCTACAAGTCTTGGTGGCTTTGTCATCAAACTCTGTCGAGTTTTCGGGACGAGGCCGTGTACTTGGTCAATTTTGGGCTACTTACGATTAAAACACTGCGTTGAGCATTTCGCGTAATGATTATCCAGATCACAGCAAATCAATGCTGGCGGAGATGAGAGCAAAAATTCCCTACTTGAACCCCCGTTAACTTCACGTTTCTGTACTGAAAACCGATGAGTGGAAACACGTCTCCTTTCGGACCCATACAGGATATTTTCAAAAACTCTTTCCAGTTTTCTTCTGTTTTTTGGGAGGATAAAAAGAGCAGAAATGCACAAACTCTAACCAGGAGTTACAAAAATAGAGTAAAAGGCATTGATTACTATGAGACAGAAATTTTTCTAGGTTAATGTTATTTTCCTGCAAATCTTGAATCCAAAGAAGACTTTCATTCTATTTTGAAAGGGGCAAAACAAAACTCTGTGTGATGGCACACACGAGGGATGGGTTAGATGCAGGAAACAGTGCGTCAGTACATTAATACTCTGCCACGTTCGTTATTTACAGGGTTGAAAAATTCTCCTCCCATTCGTAATATTAAGAAAAGTCTCTCTTTCCTTGGTCAAAAGCATTGGTAACCTCGATTTACTGCTTACGATCTGTGATTTTTTTTTAGATTTTTAACTTCAGCACATATGGTCATCTGTGGAAAACTTTCAGATCCATTACCCTCCGTATAGCACCTATCTACCAGGCCCCAACATGATACGCCGATCGTGATCACGTGATTGTTAGGTAAGACTTAATATGTTATTGCGCAGTAAAGTATTATACATAAACCATAAGAGGGTGGATGCATTTTTCACAGAAGACGCAAGCGGACACCGCAGTAAAACAGCATGGAGAATACACTAGCGCTGCGTATCTTTAAGACCTTCGTGGGCATTGTCGGCATCTTAGGCAACGGTCTGGTGTGCGTAGTCATCGGTAAGGTTTCAGAGATGCAGACCCGCACCAACGCCTTCATCTTTCATCAGGCCGTCGTAGATCTACTTGGTTCAACCCTGATTCTTCTGCAGAGCGAAGCATCTCTGCCGGACCCCGTGCCAGACAACGCACTAGGGTGGGTAGTGTGCAGCCTCTGGGTTTCTAACTTTGCAACTTTTCTCCTGTATGTGATATCCACATTCAACCTGCTGTCGCTGACCATGGAGCGATATGTTGCTATCGTTCACCCGTTCAAGTATCAGACAGCCTTCGCCAAGCACCCCCGGCTGAAAGTCGGTGCGGTCATTGCGGTATGTTGGATGGTCGCCATCGTTATCAAGTGCTACAACCTAACTCTCTTCAAGGTTGAAGGTGGTAGCTGCGTTTCGAGTGCTGAATATCGGTCGAAAGTACTGGGAATTTTGATAGCCTTTCTGCAGTTCGTGATGCCCGTGGCAGTCATGCTGTTTGCATATATTCGCATCAGCGTGGAGCTCAAGCAAGGAGCCGCTCGGGTGGGGCCCGCACCAGCAGCTGTTGGTCCCGCCACCACAGCGGACGCCTCCCAACCGGCAGGCATGATGGAGTCCCTTCTCAGAGCTCGACGCAACACGTTCAAGATGCTGTTGATCGTGTTCGTCACGTTCCTGGTGTGCTGGACTCCAAACCAGGTGATCTTTCTCTTGTTCAACCTCGGCTGGAAACTGCAGTTCAACGAGTGGTTCTACCTGCTCTCCGTGGGAATGGTAGCCTCAAACTGTTGCGTCAATCCAGTTATCTACGCCTTCAAGTACCGCCAATTCCGCAAGGGACTGCGTGAGACGTTTTGCTGCAGACGGGAACACCGTGAGGAATCCAGTCGAGCAATTACGATGAACTGCAGCAACAACTCCTAGAATAATAAATAAATGAGAGAAAACAAGGCAAGAATAACTATAATTAACGTATTTCCAGTAATTGTGACTCACATGTGAGCCTAACAATGTTTCATCATCCTTCACCCCTTTATCCAGTTCGTCGCTTTGACCTTACCTCAAGATGACCCTCCACTCATGGATGAGTAAAGTTTCATGCCTTAGGCCCCGTAGGTCCGCTTTAGAGCCGCTGTTTAAATTAAGCATTCAGAATCAGTGAACAGTTTTAACACCATCAAGTGCAAATGTTAGACTGGTGATTTGTGTTTTGAGGATATTACAAAGTGTTTATTGAATGTCACTGTTTAGTGGCTTCAATCTTAGTAGCCAGACTGAACTTTTTCGCTTGGGGGTATAAAATTTCAGCTAAAAGCAGCTAAGAGCGATTTGGCAAGACCATACGTAGGATAAAACGTTTGATTTTGTTACAAGTGTGTGTCCTGAAAAAAGGGTAGACCACGAAGAATTAGAAAGTACCTTTTAAGTTACTATCCTAGGATTCTGTGAAACGTGAGAAGCCTTTAAGGATATGCCCTTTACATTGGATTCGAGTAATTTATATAGTATGGCTTTTGCAGCCAGGTGTGGGGATGTTTATTTATATATTAAAATTGCTTATAATTTTGTCCGAAATGGCTAACCCCTTGTAGAGTGCTCGAGGAATAAATCGAATCCCAGTAGCTTTATGCGATTTGATAAGAGGTCCTTGTGGACCAGTTGAGACAGGTGTGCTTTGGTGTTGATTACTCGGCGCTCTAAAAAAGTTTCAGAATATTGAAATGCACTACGGTGACCTGATTACGAAACCCACATATCACTATATCTTCGTGTGCCCGGCAGAAAGGCGTAAGTGCGCTTACGCCCCTCTGCCGGGCACCCGACGATATAATTACGTTGTATGATGCTTAATTTGTCACTTCCGATGTTGTAGTCTTCGCTGCATGGCCTGGCGGATGCGTCGTGGTGAAGTTCATGCAGGATTGTAAATAACATCATTGGCCGTGTATCGTTATGGGTAGTAAGTTTTCACCGTGGGTATATTCTGCATGTTTAGCGAACCCTAGATGATCATATTTAATTAGTTCACAATACACGAATCTCTAAATGACCCACGAGGTCCTCTTCCAAACCAACCAGTCTCACAAGACTGTTTAATGTCACTGTTTCTTTCTATTTCATTAATGTTGTTCACAGGAGGATTTTATTTGTCAGCCTAGTCAAGCAATATTTCTCTTTGATTTCATTTGTTTCCAAGAAAAAAAATTAAGTTTTATTTTAAGATAAACGATACCAATGTTGAAGCACCAGCAAACTTTTCGAAAACTGGTTTTGCTGTGGCAGTGAAGTTGCCTAATAGCTTACACGGTATGTATTTGTGTAATGTATTCTCTTTTATTAATATTTCCACAGGAAGGTTTCTAATAATTTAGAATATTTTTAATAATCTTTTTTGTTAATTTGTGGTTCGAATACTTTTGAGGGAAAGTATCAAACATAATGTATATGTCTTACTAAATTACTGAATTATTTGCGGAAGAAATTTCTTCATCCGACAGCACAGACAATCATACGCCGCCAGTCTTTTGAGAAATATTTAGTGCAATGTTCGTACTGTATCGATTAAATATGCCTAGCACGACTCACGAGGGTATAGATTTAATATAGTAATGTGTCGATATTTTTCTATAAATTCCGGGGTGGTTGCGTTTTGACTGGTTGCTAAGATTTATACGTGTGTAATTTCAGACTGACGCCCATTAACCTACAATGGCAAAGGTAAACAGATTATTCGTCCACTGTAACCCAGTTCAAAGTTAACGGTTTTTCTATCAAGTCAATTTTGATCTATCAGAATGCTCCTACTAAAATAATGTACAGTTAACTGTATCCTTAAGAATAATCGACACCTTTCTGAATAGGAAGACGTCACAAGAGTGGTTTCACTGGACCTTTGACTTAGAATCGGACGTTTCTAGTGCTTCTAGTAGCACGTTGGTTTGGTGTGTTGACTGATTGAGTTTTGTTTCGTGTGATCCAATTTGCTTACATTGAGCAAGACATACATATGAGTGTTGGTGAAATAGAATGGTGTGCCTGAAGCAACGAAAGCCTAGTTTTTCACATAGACGTACGTCTCTTGCAGCCCTGCGTGATCTGCTCCGTTAAGTTCACTCTGGCCTACTGATTCCTAACTCCAGCATGGCTTCTGAAATCTTATCGAGAAAAGAGCATACAGTGGGAGTGGCCTCCATAGTACATTCCTCCTACGTCTCAAAGTCTCACGCTGATTAAGGTGAATGGTCTGGTGACAATCTCTCACACTGCCTTCCTTCTTCAATCTTCACTCCTTCTTCTCTTCATGGGATGCTGCACCAGTTACCGCCGGGTCCACACCAAGTACCACCTGGTCTATCCGGGGCACAGCCTGAGTTGGCTCCATTGGCGAAGGTATCATGAAACATACCAGGCCCGGAATCAGTCCAAAAAAAAATAATTTTATGTTTAAATGAACACTAAACAGTCAGTGCTGTACAAAAATTTCGTCGTTCTTCCTAAAAATAGCTGCCCTTCCTAAAGCTCCCTGTAAGACCGGCAGGTTTACGAGCAAACGGTATCCTGTGTGACCTGTCCCCTTCATTAGGTCAAATATCGATTGATGATGTTGACATCTAGTCTGCTCCCCTGACATTCCTTAGACCAGGCTCCAAATAATCCCACTGGACCCAATAAAGAAACGAATTCCATTTTAAAATATTACTCTGTTGTATAAATCAGCATATCGCTGTAATAACGCAGAGCGAAATACTTGGCCTGTTTTCCTTAATATCGTGGTTGTAATCACCGTTCCGTGGCACAGCTAAATTTGGTAGCGCAATTCTAGAGGCAAAACTAAAAGTTTTCATCGAACAAACAGCCTTTGGGTATCCCCACCCCAGAATTTAGTATTTCCATCCAAAGAAGATTGGTGTCATCGAAATAATGCATTTGCACGCAAGATGATATCTGGCAAGAGCGGTTAAGGCTTTATGACATCCATGCCTTGGAAATCTCTCAGTTCACTCGTTGAAAGTTGGACTCGGTAATTTCCAAATCTTGCTTACTATTATTCTTACAGTTTTGGGGCGGAGACAGTCAGACCTATTTCTTGAATTAATCTCTTTTGTCTGCTTGACCTACGTCCTGAGTACGCCTCTGCTACTCAGATAGGTTCTGTGAAAAGGGGTTTTTATTAGTTATAATTGAAATTGTATGTTTTTAAACAATACCCAGAAAGTAAAAGTTGTTGTCTTGATTAAGGAGAAATAAATTTCAAAGCTTTTCGCAAAACAGCCCGCCCCAAAGAGGTATAGATAGACAAAAAAAAGGTGAGAAAAAATTCACCTATCTGTGACGTACGTTCAAGAAGACGTCATCTCCGGCCGCTGACACATGGAAAATGCAGTGTAAGTTTTTGGTGTTTACATGCTGATCAGATCATGCCGACCAGACTTGTTGCCGTCGGCTGCAGCGACACCAATAAAGATGAGACAAGCCTGCATAACTTTCCAACCGAAGCGAAATGAAACGAATTTGGATATCGAAAGTCGGGTTGACCAGGGCCAAATGGTACTGACCGACAGCGACCTTCAAACTGAGCAGTTCGTATTTTCAGCCACAAGGTATTTCTTCAAACATGTACGACTCGTTTGGGATTAAATCAAAACGTTTGGTGAAGTCAGAAGCCACTCCCACAACCTTTGAGAAATCAAAGAAAGCCCGTGAACAAAGAAGAGTAAGAGCTTTCATGAAACACGAACGACAAAGGGTAAGAAAAGCTTCCAAATCGGCCTGGGCTATTCCACACAAAATATCGTGTCTATAGGTCGTGGTGTCCCATTCATACCCCACGATACCAACGTCAGTTGCCGGTATGTATTTTACGTTCGAACTCTCACCGGATTCGTAAATTGTGCGTACGTGTATTAATATCCATGTTCCTCTTGGATACAGACGTACCAAAAGGGTACCCAACTATAATTTTGCTACTTTTGTGGATTCTCAAATGTTACGTCACACAGCACATCATCATTTGCTGGGATTAAAACATTCATTTGAGGGGTTAGTAAAATTAACCACAGAAAAGGGGATTTAATTCTTTTTTTACATTGGAATAATTGTGAACATATTGCTTATATTCGAGTATCTACAAGTTTATTTTGCTCCATTTTCCGCATTTTAGGTGAGGGTGATTAGGCGTCCGTTCCCAATGCCCCGGCTACGCCGCTGTCTATGGCCCCTACGTGGATTTTCGCGCGTGCGCCTAGAAGACTGGTGCATGGTCAAATGTCTGTGTAATTATCTAATGTGGTACAATCGCATCAACGGAACATGTGAAGTATTGCCCAATTACATGATGCACCAAACTGGTGCATGACGAGTAAAGTCTGATGCAAACAAAAGTCAACGTATAAAAATTCCATAAGGTTGTTTAAAAGGCTTGGCTAACTCGCAAACAGTGGTAGATGAATCACAGGCGATAGTATATATATAGTATCCGATCACGCTCGCCAATTGATTATGTAACATGACCCCACATCTTACCTCCAGTTTGGGACCAATCAGCAGATACCTTTTATAAAACGTGGGTTGCGGGAAGGTAGATGGTGTTAAGTAAACATGGGTCAATTGCCGGGACCTAGCCACACGTGTAATACCGCAGGCCCACGTTGCAGACTGATATGGTACAGTCGGGGTGGAGTCGGCTTATCAGTACAATTGTGTGTGTATTTTTTCGTCCAAATTTTACGGTAAATTACCCGTTTAAGTTCTGAAACAGTCTCGAACAAGTATTTCTGCAGGGGCCGCCTACACGTACTGGTACTCAGTCAACATCATAGATACACCTAACAAAAAAGGGTCAGCTGACACCCATCAACCAATTAGCAGCAATTTAAAGCCAAGTTAGTTATAAAGCTGCTTCTTTTATCACTGCATCTAAAGGTTATAAAGAATGACATCACCGAAAACTAACATACTTAAAATGTCCCAACTCGCTTAGATGGGAGGCTTAAGCACGTAAAGGCGCAAGCAAATATGCATAGATGATCATTAGCGTAGTGAAATGTGGCGCCCGCAACTCTCTCCCCAACCCCCTTTTTTAAATTTCCATGCTTGCCAATTGTAGGATTTGGGTCGTCCACCCTGGATTTTATACGCGATTTCATCTGACTAAATGTTGGAATATGCAGTTCAAACGCAGACTAAAAGCTGTCTTTCCTGTTGAAATCTGTCTCGAACAACAAACGGTAATTGTGTGCAGAAGCAAAAGACCACATGGTACATGAGCGATGTGGGATCTAAAAGTCCGTGATCGCTCGTAGGGGTCGTGGAATGCTTCTTTCAAAGTCCGCTGATTGTCAGATCCTTATCAAATCTAAATGATTAGTGACAGATGATGCAAAACAACCCTGGCTACAGGTGCGTTTTATTGGTACATACTGTCGTATACCAACGTAAAACAAGTCTATAATTGGAAAGCTGTACTGTGATGATGTGGAAGTCGATACACCACTTTTAGTTTGGTGGAACAAAACTTCAGTGCTCTTGAATTTGATCCTCAACGATTGCTTCAGATTAGAATAAAAATGAACCCCGTTTTTAATCACCCCCCCCCCCCAGTTTTATATGGGAGTGGATGCAGCACTCGACATGGATAACGACACTTGCGTGGTGGACGTCTTTGCAATGCTGCACCAACTATCGCGGGTTGATCTGAGCCCTGCTACTCGTTGTGATGCGTGCCTCCGTCCATGAAGGTATTATGACCGATGAGCTGAGACGTACCAGGCCCGGAATCAGCACAAAAAGATTCAATTTATTAAATCACATCTTCGTATTTCAAATTATCAGCCTCGAGCCGGACCAAGAGAGGGTGCAGTTTTCTAGCAACGATGGCTCCTTTGGTTGGAACTGCACTTCACTGTTAGCAAACGATCATGGGTTACTGATGTTCTTTTCACTTGGAATTACATAGCTATTTTCCTTGTTCCTACCTTCAAAGCTTATAGGACGCTTGGATGCTCTTCAGAGAAATTTTGCAAAGGAAGTGCGTCACAGCCTCAGACCTTTCATGCACTGTGGGTCACGGACTGCCCTGCCAATGCATGTATAACCAGTGTGAGCGTGTCACACACATGCAGAAGTATCGGCCCATATTATTTAAAAAAAAAAAAGAAAAAAAGATGAACTCTATACAATCAGTATAAAATTTCGTCTTTCTTTCTAAACAAGCTGCCTTTCTGGCTCCCTGTAAGGCTGGCAGGCATACGGGCAAATTGTATTCTTTGTTATATCAGTTAACAGGTCGCTGTAATAACTTAAAGGAAATTATATGCTTCTGTTTTCCAAAATAATCGTGGTCACAATCATCGTTCCGCGGCACAGCTAAATTCGGTAGCACAATTGTTGAGGCAAAACTAAAAGTTTTCATCGAACAAACAGCGTTTGCATATCCCCCTTCCCAGAATATAGTTTTTACATACGCAGAAAATTGGTGCCATTGAATAATGCATTTGCTCGCAAGATGAATATGGACCCTGTCACTGCCTCTGGCAAGAGCAATTAAGACTTTATGGTCGAGTTCGGCTGCCTGTTCTTGACACGGGTTTCTTGTTCTTGTGCTCAAACGGCGGGAACACGAGTCAAGAACACTGTTTTCGGAACAGGATCACAAACCCCCTCATCGTCAGGGTTTACAGGAACACACGGAAAAACTTGTGAGATTTTGATTTTTGAACAGCCTTAAGAAATAGAGAGATGGTTTACAAAGCCGGAGACAATTGGAAGTTTTGCAAAATGAACGATAATAAATTTCCACAACACAGTAAATGAATGTTCCTTTTTAAATAGAAAAGAATACAGGCCAGTTACCCAAGCATTAACCCTCGCAGAACGTAACGAATGCCGCCATATTTCTTGTATTGCCGCTACCAGCGATGACCAGTTTTACGTTCCCGGCGTTCGAGTGGCCAACCCACGAATAACAGATCGAGCTGTTCGTGAACGTCCGAGAACACGCCGCCCCAACCCAGCCTATGACATCCATTCCTTGGAAATCTCTCAGCTCACTCGCTGAAAGTCGGACTTGGTAGTTTCCATATCGTGATCACTATTATTCCTACGTCTCTTTTAGACAGGGACAGTGAGACCTTTTTCTTGAGCTGTCTTGCCTCTATGACCTAAGACCTGGGTACACCTCTACTAACCAGCTATTTCATGGGGCCTTGGTTTATATTAGTTAGAATTGAAAGTTGGACACTTTTAAACGACATCCAGGCTGTAAAAGTGGCCGTGGAACAGTATTTCTGCAGAGGCCGCCTATACTTACTGGTACTCAGTCAACTTTGGTAAACCTGACAAAGAAGGGTCAGCTGACACCCATCAACCAATCAGCAGCAATTTAAAGCCAACTTAGTTATAAAGCAGCTTCATTTATCACTGCATCCAAAGGTCATAAGGTATGAAATATCACCGGAAACTAAAAGAACAAAATACTAAAAATATCCAATATCATACTGTTTAGACGGAAGAGTAAGGCACGCGAAGGTGCAAGCAAATATGCATAGATGATCATTATCGTAGTGAAATGTGGCGCCTGCAACTCCGCCCCCCCCCCTTTTTTTTTTAAATTCATTGCTTGCCAATTGAAGGATTTGGGTCGTCCACCCTGGATTTTATACGAGACTTAATCTAACTAAATGTTGGAATATGTTCAAACGCAGACTAAAAGCTGCCTTTCCAGTTGAAATCTGTCTCGAATAACAAACGGTAATTGTGTGCAGAAGCCCAAGACCACATGGAACATGGTCGACCTAGGATCTAAAAGTCCGTGATCGCTCGTAGAGGTCGCGGCATGCTTCTTTCAAAGTCCGCTGATAGTCTGATTCCCATCAAATCTTGGTTACAATGGTACAAAACAACCCTGTCTACGTGCACACATTAATTGTAATATGCTGCCATGTAGAACAAGTCTATAATCGGAAAACTGTACTGTGGTGACGTGGAAGTCGATACACTACTTTAAGTTAGGTGGAACTTCGGAGCTCTTGAATTCGATCCCCGACGACGGTTGCTTCAGATTAGAATAAAAATGGACCTAATTTATGAGTGGTTTTGTGGGAAAAACCAAACCCCACAGTTTGATATGGGAGTGTATGCAACACTCGACATGGGGAACAACACTTGCTTGGTCGACGGTCTTCTAATCATTCCTCACGGTGCATTCCTCCTCCTATCTTCAGTCTTTCTTCTCGTCTTGGGATGCTGCACCAGTTACCGCCGGGTCCACACCAAGTATCTCCTGATCTATCCAGGGCACAGCCTGAGATGGCTGGTATCCACCCTGCTGCTCGTTGTGATTCTTGCCTCCATTGGCGAAGGTATCATGACTGATGAGACGTACCAGGCTTGGAACCAGCCCACTCAACCACACCTCTACATTCACAGCATTGTGGCCTTCGCTGCAGTCGTGATGTCGCTGGTTTACTGTCATCACATGGAGTTGTGGCAAGTACCAGCCATGTCCACACTACTACTTTGTTACTGGATGTTCTCAGCTTGTTGTGAAGGTCTTCGATTGCTAAGCTTAAATCACAAAGATCTTGTCGATTTAAGCATTCTTCTGTTCGACTTAACTGTCATCAAGATTGTCCTATACGTCATCTTGCTGTTGCTAGAGCTAAACGTCATAAGAACAAAGGTACGCAAATGTAAACAAAGCTAGGCAGACCTACATAGTTTTTTATTAACCACAAAATATTGTTTTCTCTTAAAAATGGTGTTTGCGTTAATACACAACGAGGAGAGGTGTGATTTCATCTCAAGTTTGTGAACATTTTACAAATAATTCTTCCAGGGTTTCGATCAATGATTTTCTTCGCAGCTTTGCAATTGTTCCTACAAAGGGCAAGAGTTTCCCCGAGATCTGACAGATCCAGACATGGCTTTCATGCACGACAACGTTAGCCTGTTCTCCGCGCTAACCTACGCCTGGGTCAACCGCCTATTCGTGCTGGGTTGTAGGAAGCAGCTCTTGCTTAGTGACCTTGGGAATATTCCTGAGAGGTACAGGGCTAGCTTCAATCACGATCGATTCAGGAAAGCCTTTAAAGAGGAGGAGGTGAGTTTTCTCAGCATGAGGTGTGTTTTTGTCGGGCGCCCTCATCGTTGTGACATAAAATGTACGGAGCAACATGTACTCCGATACACTGAACTTACTCAAGATCTATATGTAAATATGAGTGGGTAATTGCGTCATTGTTTTAACGGAAATCAAGATGCAAGTTACACACATGGGATTCACTCTGTCACAGCTTTCATTTTAAAGCATTATGAGCATGGGCTAATTTCCATCCCTGTTAGAATAAGAGCGGCAGCGCCGCGAATATTTAAGTGCTGACTCTGAATCTCTGCTTTATCCTTTTACGTTTCGTGGAATGTACCAGTCAATGTTGCAAAGGCACTCAGTATGAGGCCGGAAGAGAAACCTAAATATGTATCTGCACCAACCTCAAAATAGGTCGTTGGAAGGAAACCAGCTTTGCCACGAAATTCTGTAGATAGATCCAGCGCTACTATATTTTTTTCTCTACATAGACAAAAGCAAGGGGGGCTCCTCCATCTATGACGAAAATTTACCTGAAGGTGTATGGGCGACGACTGTTTGCGGCCGCTGTTCTAAAACTGATCGGGGATGTGTTTGGTTTCATCAACCCTCTTGCCGTCGGTGCGCTGACAGTGTATGTAACGTCCATAAAGTATGCCTCTGCTGAACAAACGGTAAGGAAAAAGTTTTAACGAATTCAAGAACAGTTTTAATAATGTCAGCGAAGTGTTTGTTGGTTTGAAACTTGCACAAGGGTGTTCCAGTGGATGGTTGTTAAAATCCCTCAGTAACGTAACGAATATTTTCTCTTCATTGTAAGAAACAAAACAATTCATTCCCCAGAGATCTGTTTATCTGTACAAATTTAAAGCCCTTTTAAATAAAAAAAACTATACTGGACCACTTTTAATCAGAAAGATCTCCAAATTCAGGTAGGACTAACGAAATTGATTGTTTACCTCCTCTGTATAGTGATTTGATTTTTTTGCCTCCTCTGCATGGTGAATTTAACACTGTTTTTTTTTTTCTTTCCCCTTATGCTGCCAGTCCCCCGCACACTTTGTCACTGTAGGAGAGTTTTTCGCAAACGGATTCGTACTAGTGGCCGTCATGTTCCTCGTCTCCACGCTGAAGTTCTTCTGCATCCAAACCTACGTGTACATCATCGTGATAGAGGCGATGAACATGCGCTCTGCACTTCAGGTAGTACTAACACTTCAGTCATGCGGTAGCCATTTTTTCTTGGTAAAGCAGATGAGCCTGTTGGGGTGAGGGCGCACACCTACGGCGATTTTAATGTACGAGGCTTTTACAACCAAACGCCACTGTTCAAAGCCTGCCAGTGTTACAATAAATGTAGGCAGCAGAACGTCACAGCTTGGACCGTGGTATCTTGGCCAAATAGAAGGTGAAAAGTGGTAGGTCTGTCCAGCTCGTGTGGAAAACATTGGTTTGAATACTGAATGTCTGTAGTTCGAATGCTGGATGGCACTATTTGTGTGTAATTTCTTTCTTGCTACGAAAGGGTCATTTTTGAAAGGTGTTGATGATCCGGCTAAAGCTAGAAGGTTAAAGTTTGTTTCAAATATTAAAGGGGAAGTACGTTCTCATAAAAGGTGATGTCGACGTCGGAAATTCTCGCTTATGAGCTTGGCCCAAGGGTGTCATTTTTCCGTACAGGCCTTCTTTGTTGACGGTGGTAGCTAGTGAGATCTGATGGCGCACACCCTTTCGTGCCCGTTTTAATGCATAGCTCTGGCACGTGCAGCTCACCAACCACGTGCCTGGTCGATCATACGACCGCATGGCCACGTTAATAAGCCTTTGAGAGTTAACTTTGACCCAAATCTGGTACACTGAGTTCTTTAAATTCACGTGAACATAACAACTTGAATTCTCCTTACTAAAACCTCTGTAGCTATACCTCGTGATTCAGGGAAAACTTTTGCTTAATTACATAAGATACGCCTTGCAACAATACACTGTTCTCAATGGATAAGAAGGGCACAAAGGATCCAGTCCATTCCAGAGATGGTCGTCGCTTATGCGAAAGCTTGCCCCGAATCACGAGGTGTAACAACGGTGTCTTGGTGCGCCCGATCCGACTACCCATCGCTACTTATAGAGGGATATTCACATTAGCGCTGTCTGCGCATATCCGCATCGAAACCGAGGCTCTCATATTTATGAACTTGGTCGCGTGCACCCGCGGAGTCGACACTGTACATGCAGTGTCCGGTTCGTAAGTGTGACGCCACTTCAGTTTAAACCACGCTCACTGCACATGCAGATACACGACCATCGCAGGTACATGTACGTTAGTTCGCGGTAAATTGCCGTTAATTTTTCTTTTAATTTCACGTGTCGAGTCATCCTGAAAGACTCTTCCAAAAAAATTTTCAGCCTGAAAAGTCTGAATTTAACATACCTATATGTATTTTGTCTCTTGCCTCCTTACTTTCAATCGTCTGATCGTATTAAGAATTGAAGCTGACATTTACAGCCTCATTTTCAAACGCAGAAGTGCGCAGATCGACGCTAAAAGCGTCGTATTAGGATCCCTTTATAAATAGAGTCGCACAACAAGTACGCCATGCCATGAGTAGGTCGGTATTGTTGGGTCGTTGCATGGACTACGTTCGCCACACTTGTATGCTAGACCAGTTTTAGCTTGTGCACGGCAGCAGTAGCTCTCTTTTGTGTTTCAAGTGGGGGTGCTTTTCATGCCAGGCTTACAAGTGTGGCGAACGTAGTCCTGCTGCGATCCTATGAAACTAACCTGCTTACAGCAGGGCATATTTGGCGTGCAATCCCTACTTATAAGTAGTTGTGGGTAGTCGGATCGGGTGCTTTAGTCTCGGGAATTCAAATCGTTATGTTTATATGCAGTCAGATAATTCAGTGCACCAGATTTTATTCAAATTTAACCCGCAAATGGCTTATTTGGCTGGTACGCGGAGAGTACGAGTAGGTACAGTGGAGGGTGCACCCAGCAAATAAATTCCCACAGACGCTAGTGATAAATCCTAATACTTACAAATCTCATAGGTGTTCAGGCTGCACAGAATCATGACGATCAATATGTCTAATTCTTACACTTTCCTTTCAATTTTTGGTAGGATTAACAATGACGTTTTGAGAAATTTTCACCCAAATTTGACCACCTCTAAACGAAGTATATGTCCCTATATAACCGGGAAATTGAAAGGGCTTTTATGAAAGAGATCACCAATTACATTCAAATTGCTCAGAATTGGAAGCCCTCAGTCCAGACCCAAGGTTCAGTGCCAGATTTATTAAATTATCCAATTCCATGGCTCTCAGAACTCTCTAGTATAGAAAATCTGGAGTGTGTAACTTTTATGAAAGAGCTCAGAGGACAAATTTTTGGCCTTTAGACACGAGTGCACCCTTGGGTGGACAGGTAGCTAATGACGAGAGCTGAACACGCTATTCAGTGGGGCAGGCACGCAAGGGAAGGTTTACGGCAGCACCTGCTCGTTCTCCCTGGTAACAAGAAGACAGACTTGTAGAAACGACTGCTTTCAGCGTTCACGGTGGAGTGTGGCACTGACACGTGTACTTATTTTGCATATAATAGGCAATGGTATACGAGAAATCCCTACGTCTATCAACCTTTGCCACGGCCGGTAAGATGAATATGGGCCAGATAACCAATCACATGTCCGTGGATCCCATGGTTATTCAGCAGATGTTCCAGTCGGTCAACTACCTGTGGTCCGTGCCTGTACAGGTAAGGGCATTCTTTCAACTACTTTTTGGTCTAATGGGGGATTAGAAAATAAAACCCCACTGATTTCCCATTACTCAAATGGATTTTGGTCGGCAGTAGGCCTCGTGATTAATGGTTACATTTAAAAATATATATACATGTATTTAAAAAGCTCTAGTGATGTCTTATTTCCCAAATTAAAGTCGTATGTCAAGCCTATCAAAGTCTCCCTATCAAGATTTCCTTGCATTTATCTAGAGTAAAAAAGTCAGGATTGATCATTTTGTTATAGATTCTATAATTGTATGAAACGCATGCAAAACGTTAACAGCTTGGAAATTGCTGATTTACAAAACCATCTCATTTTTTTTCTTGCAGCTTGCTGTAAACCTTCTGCTGCTGTACTTTCAAATGGGATTTCCGGCCTTAATCGGAGCATGTGTGTTCTTCATTATCACGCCTGTTCAATTCAAGATGATGTCCGTCATCACTAAGCGACAGGAAGATCTCTTGGTAAGCGAGGTTTATTTCTGAGATCGAAGGTCTTGACACGTCTAGAAGCAACGGCTATATGCCCCAATTGTGCCACAATATCTTAGTAACCTGAAATTGACACAATGTGATAGCACTGTGTAGTATGAGTTAAGAACTGAATAAAATACCCGCTCGGTGACTTTCATATCTTGGCACAATAAAGTGCGTACAACAATGGACATTGTATAAGGGATATAATGGTGATAAACCACCCAAACTTTTACAAATTCTAAAGATCATAGAGCTGCTAAGCTTGGAAAGTTGGTGAGGGTAGAAAATACCTGCTTACCAAAACGGGTTACCAGCCGAAAGGTCAGTGCATTTGTAACCAACCGGTAACTGGTGATCTGGCAAGTTTTGCTCAGCACATAAATCTGCCATAGTGGTGGTTAAAAAGATCTAGAACATTTATGTGCACAAATCAGTGCAACATTGAGATTCAGTGCCTTGGATGACATCATAGTTCTGCTATGGCAGATTTCATTTTCTCTGGCAATTTATTGCTGTGTAAGCAAAGGGCAATAATCCAGCAAAAATTCTTTCCACAGAAATGTTCCCAGGTAGCAAATTTGGGGTTCACAATTTGAACATGAAAATATGCAACCTGAACCACGTCTTCCTGGATTTACATCAAATCAAAAGCGCCCTCACTTGTCTAGAAATGCCTGGTCAATTTGTGATGTTTTAAAAAGAGCACTGTTCAGTTCACGTAACTTAAAAGAAAGTCAAACAGTCTTCATACATGGAAGAAGAGTATAGAGATACACAAAAAGTGATTCCAAGAAAAATTCATTTCCTGGATCCTTTAAGTGCTCCATAAAATTCGGCATAGATCGTTTCAGAGATCGGACGGATTAAAAGGGTTCTCGATCTGCCCATGAACAAACATGCGGATTTTCTTTTTACCCTCCAGCTTTGTTCTGACGAGCGGTTGAAGCAAGTGAACGAGCTCCTACAGGGTATCCGGCTCCTCAAGCTATACGCCTGGGAGGAGTGGTACTGCCAAGGAGTGGAGGCAGTACGCGCTAGGGAGCTTGCCTGCCTTATGAAGATTACAGGGGCCACCATCAGCACAAGTAGGAATCCGTGCTAGTGATCACCTTTCTTTGGCTATGGTCACAGTTTTTGATTTGCCGACCAGAGTGTCGTCAGTACATAAGCAAATTCAATACCTGTACTTAACAAACCTTATGAAAAAAAATCTACTGTATTCTACACCTTTTACGGCCATGGCCTAATTAAACATTTCGAGGTAGAAGCTGCCACCAGCGAAGGATGAAATTTCTGTAAACTTTGACCGACTACACAAAATGGCAAGCAGTGTTTGTAAAACCAAAAGTTCTGTAAGCCAGGGAGGATCCCAGTACTGGCAGAAACATTGTTTTGGATACCGCTGAGAAAGGTCGCCCCAAGGGTCACTTAATAATAGGCGGCACATTGCCCCCACCGGTATACCAAAAGCTCTTCCTTGATATAGAGTGGTGTCCTTGACCTTTGATGGCTTGCACATCCTGACTGTAATCTAAAGATACCTCTTTATATTAACTCCAAATGTTAGGTTTGAGAATTGAAGAAGTTTGTCACAAAATATTTTCGTCTTGTTGATAACCATGCATTCTGGAACAACATATACAACATAATCTTGTATGTAATAACACATCTTTCTGCATTTTGTTTTCTTGCAGTTCTGTTGACTTCTACTGCGCCTGTTCTGGTCACACTTGTGGTAATTACACTTCCTTTATTCTTCACACCAAATAAAACACTTTTCTAAGTGGCTAATAGAATACCCATTTCTCAGCACCTTTTATCTATAGGTATATGAAGCATTTACTGAGACAAATGTTGGAAAGAGGAGCCGGTTGTGGTGTCTCTTGCCTCTCTGCTTGTACTCTTCCCTTGTTTTTTCCCACTCCTCACGTGCATGCAACTCTGACAACATTTACAATGGGCCTTGCTAACTTAGGATTTATAGATGTCCTAAATGATGATATTGAAATTGCCCTGGATGAAATTTAACTAGTGAACTCGTCAGATTAAGGTTTTATGTCTACTGCACCTTCTTCTCGAACTTCACGTCCCCGCCCACTCCCACCCGACCATCCAGGGGTTCGGGACCTACTCTGCCCTGACAGGCAAGACGCTGACCCCGGACGTGACCTTCTCCTCGCTGTCCCTCTTCAACATGCTGGGGACTCCCTTGACCATGGTGCCCACCGCCTTGCTCCTCCTCGTCAACGGGGTCGTCAGCAGCAGGCGGGTGCTGAACTTCCTTCTTGCCCCTGAGGTTGAAGTGAGCTGCCGGCCTGACATCGAGGAGGCCAGAGACGACGAACCAGCGTGTGCAGAGACCAAGGTGACTGACATGACCGATGCTATTTACTGAAAACATGAGAGTGAGATGTTCTCTTGTATTTAAGCTCTGAAACATTTTTATCAGCTTTCGATTTTCTTGCAATATTTTTGCTTTATAAATATGCTTTATTTTCAAACCTTGAGACAAATTTATTGGACAAAATTTGCGAGGTTATATTTTAATTTTTAGCCCTTGTTCATGCAAAGAGGGCACGCATGGATGTTGGTTGCATAAGGTACGCTGCCTGACAATAGTCCACGAGAGACATTCATAAAAATATAATTAAATTTCCGGTTGATTTTTAACTTTATTATTGGTACTTTAGTGAGGTTTTCTAGCCATGGTTTGTAAATAAGTAAACGTTCAATCTCCATGGCGGTGTTTCAGTCAGATATATCCTTGTCATGATCACTACAATACCAAGACAATCTCCTCGTTTGCTTGGTCATATGTTCATTCAATTTAAGTCTTTGGTCTGCCGCAGTTGGGAAGGGAGTCATGGACTTCAGTCGAGGGAACGTATGACAACAGCACAGAAACAACAAGTCTTCTCTCGAGCGGTTCCAGCGATTCCAGTCAAGCCAAGTACGGTATCGGGAGCCCTGGTCGTTCTCTTCGTCAAGATGAACCAAGAGACCTTCCCCCGGGAGTTGCAGTTAAGGTAATGTTATCATATGAATAATTTCCCCATGCAAGGATGTTCAACAACCAGCCACAAAGTTAGAAGTTAACTACACTTCCCATAAAATGACCACAGACTTCATTGCGGTTTAAATAAGAAAGGAACGTTTTGTGTCATAAAGGCATGGAGAAAAGCATATCGAATTAAACCTACATCCTCAGTAACACAGATAGACAAAATATCATGAGCGTTATTCTTTTGAATAAGAGTACAAGCAACACATTATTTTAATTGAACCCATAATAATGGGAATCGAAGATTAGATAAATTTACTGTGATGTCAGCCATGTCTTCTGTGTGTCTAAGATGTCTTCTTTCACTGCAGGTAACCGACGCCAGTTTTCTGTGGGATCTGGACTCTTGTCTGCCGGTTCTCTCTGACATCAACCTGGAGATTCCCGAGGGCAAGTTCCTAACGCTTTCATTCTGTGATTTCAGGACTTTATCCAAGTTGGTTGTGAGTTTCTTTCATTTTGTTAACCAGAGAGAAGTCGGGGGGGAGATCACTAGCCTAATATTCTATACTTTGGCACACATAAACAGGTAAACTGACCATAATCATCGGGCAAGTTGGTAGTGGTAAGTCGTCACTCATATCAGCCATCTTAGGGGAAATGTCGACTCTCTACGGGAAAGTACAAATCAGGTAATTTAAAAAAAAACAACTCTTTATAAAGACAGACTTGGTTTGATGCCATAGATCTTGACATTGTATGAGTGACTTTGCAAATCCTTTCTTAGAGTTGAAACGAGACTTCGAAATTAGATCATTTAAAAACATTCGTGCAAAAAAACATTTCCATTGTACGTACTTCTCGTAGACCATTTGTAGAAGTTAAAATGCCCACTCCATCGTGCTAGGATGATGTAAATGATTTCATACAAATAAAGACTTACAATGGATCATAATACTTTGTCCTGCGTTTCAGAGAAAACGCTGAAATTGCTCTTGCAGCTCAGAAACCTTGGCTGCTGAACGTCACCCTCAAGGAAAACATTCTCTTCTCGAAATCACTGGACGAGAAAAGGTTATTCATGATTTCTTGTACTTTACCAATCAATATTATAACTCTAATGGTTCAATGATCTGCAATTGTACCATGTCTTGACTGGCCTCTCACACTCACGAACCGTTTGTTTTAGGTACGACCTTGTCCTAGACTCCTGCGCCTTGAAGCCGGACATCGATATCCTACCTGCTAGAGATCAGACGGAGATTGGAGAGAAGGGAATCAACCTGAGCGGAGGACAGAAACAACGAGTCAGCGTGGCTAGGGCTATGTACTCAAATAGAGATGTCATTATTCTAGTGAGTAAATGTAAAGTGAGAAAACTGAGCGGTAAAGGAATTAACTACGAATATAGAAAGCTAATACAATGGGGCTGTTTCACGTGGGTGCATCGCGCTTTACGGCGATAAAACAATTGGAAGGTGTTAAGCTGAGACAGCACTCTGGTCAGTCGTTAGTTATGACGTCATGGACCAGATGGAAGACTGTTGGAGCTATGGTTTACGTGCCTTAGTCGCGCCTAAATTACAGGTTCCTTTCTTGCGTTTAAATTTCGAATACTGTATGGCGTATTTCTCTTCGTCAACGTTTCTGTAACCCTTCGTTAATCTTTAAAGGCCCTTTGGCCGATTCACAACTGACAGGTTGCAGGCCGTCTCTGTCATGACTTTTAAGGCATTTTTGGCACTTTATCAGCCCCGTGGTTGAACACGAAGGGGCGCTTAGTTAACTAGCCTGGGCTTCCCTTCAAGCCAACACCGCTGGCAAACACTTTGCACTTTGCTGGTTGGCGTGTATCAGTCCTCGATTATTCGTCATCCGCGTACACGGGCAACAGGGTACAACCTTTTCACGTTTAGAGATGAATTTGCCTAAGAATGTTAAAAGTTAATATCAGCTTAATATCCCCCCTTTCCTTATCAGTGCAAATGAATGACCACTGAACCCTAGCCTATCAAACCGATCTCTCCACTTACAGTCAGTACCCGCCCCATACAACCACTGTATTTTCTGTAATAAAAAACATGGCGGGAAATAGGTTGGTGCTGACAATGTTTCAGTGTTCAAATTTCTATTCTTATAGGATGACCCATTGTCTGCCTTAGACGTCCATGTTGGCCGTCATCTCTTCGAAGAAGGAATCATGAAACTGCTCGTCAAACGTCGACACACCGTAATCCTAGTGACGCACCAACTGCAGTACCTGAATAGGGCAGACCTGGTAAACGTCAACGGGTTTTATTTACAACTAGGACCAGCTAAAGAAGGCAATCGAGCGCACCTTTGCATAGAGGGTAAAGCTGTATCGATGAAACAAAAACAGCAACCACTGTATGGTTGGAACAAAGCCCCAATAATACATGCATCTTATTAAGACAATGTCTGAGAACGCCAATTGCTCGTTTGCTGGTGACGTTTGTCACGCACACGAATACACACTGCATTACGCGTGCGCGAGTAGAAAGACCCAGGCTAATCGTGCGGAAACCGTAGATGAACCAATACGATTTTACAAGCTTCAGAGTACTTGTCAGTTTTCACATACAAATACATTGTGTCAGGTCTTTACGCTAAAGCTGCCATTATTCAAACTGTCATAAATTGCTTAGTCATATCCCACATTTCAACAATTGAAGATGCTCATTTAAAACCAACTAAAAACGATCACCCAGTTTGTTTACTTTATGTGACAAGATCATTGTGATGAAAGACGGTAGAATAACAGCCAGGGGAGATTTGGATGACATCATCGCCTCGGATCCGGTTATGTACAGTGAGTACCACAAGGCGGTCCGGGTAGCCAGCGAGTCTGAGACAGAGACGTCTAGTCTGGATTCGGGGTCCATCACAGAGGAGCGACGCCAGCTCCAGCAGCGAGTGAGGAGTGCTTTCCTTGTGAACCAGATATCTGATGGTAAGTTTGAGAAGAAAATCTTTCTCCACAATTGATTGAATAAAGATTTCCTCTTTTTAGCTGACCAAAAGTGTTTCGTGAACGTCACAAGACTCCCTTCCCCCAATGCAATTGCAATGTCAAAACCCGACTTCCACGGCAAGTCGAAAGAATTCAACCCGTTTCCTGAGACGGGTCTTGTACGGGACTACTCTGAATTTAATCTTGTAGTCGTGGCAATTGAAAAGCAGCGCTAACCAAATGAAAGTAACTTAAACCAGGCTTTTGTGCCAGTACATGTACTAGTTTAGTTGAAGATTTTCAGGTCGACTGGAACTTTGTTGAGAACATAAGTACCGGTCGGTACTTTCACTTTATACTGCGCGCTTCTATTTAAGCGTGTCGAAACTGAAAGGTTCACCTGATTGTGTCACACATAGAACATTCTGCAACCGGGAAAATATTTTATGTTTTAAAATACTCTTCATCCAATAGCAACTTTCAAAACAAAATCATATAAGTGAGATGAGGTGGTTTTTGATAGCACATCTTTTAATGATATTCTAAGTGAGAAGGAGAAAACTGTGAGAAGCATTATTGTTGGAAACAACTTCAAACAAGCATTTGATAAACCATGCAAATACATTGGAATTATTAGGTAGAAATGATTCCATTAGGTTCATAATTCAATTCCATTTATACCACCAATAGTTTTGCTGGTATATGTTAGAATCTGAAAAGTGAGATTTTGCGTATCCTGGTATTCCCTCCATAGCTGCTGAAACTGCGTCTGGTTCTCTGATCAAGAAGGAAGAGATGGAAAGAGGCTCAATCTCTTGTGGTGTTTACTTGTACTACGCCCGCAACGTTGGCAGCTGGCTGGTCCTGCTAATCGCCGTCACAGCCGTTGCCAACACCGCCTTGTCAATAACCACCAATTTCTGGTTATCTGCTTGGTCGGAGGCTGGTCTAGGAAATGAAGTAGGTTTTTCTTTCTTATATCTAGAGTTTGTAGCAAACAGCAAACTCAAGACAGCAAGGGCCAGTAGGCGATGTTTTATCTCTGCTTGATCTATAGTGTATACGCATTGACCGATTTTAATCCGAATGTGCACAATCCTGCTGCACGTTGAAATAAGCACAGAGCTCTATGTTATCTGTTTAGTTAAGATTTATAAATTTTCGTTGGCTGGCTCTGTCTATTCGGTTTTTCAATTTAAGGACTAGAATTATGATGCCACCACCAACTAACTGTCTAACCACGTGTCCCCGGTTCTTCGCAGAGTGTTTCCATCAGTGATCAGTATTTCATTGGTTACTTGGGTCTGTCTGTCGGATACCTGCTAGTCAAGTCCACCACCAGTACATTACTGGTGGTAGGTTTGCTGATAGCAGCTAGGAGGCTACACCAGAAGATGCTGCGAAACTTGATCCGGGTACCCATAAGGTATAAGTCCAGTTATCAAAAGTGACTCCATAGTATCCTGATATATCTGGTGTCGGACACCTCATCAGTTAAGGTTCGAACTATACATAAATTGGAATAAAAACGGATACCAATAGAGTTTTTAAAAATGACGTAGATCCCGGGGAAGTAGGGATATTACTTCCACAGACAGTGACGCAGATTTGTGCCGGGAATTCGATGATTGGGGGTGGGGAACTTTTGGGGGATGACATGCCCGGCCATGGAAATTTGAAAAGCGAGACTGGGAAGCACTGATGCCTATTACACTTTATAGGGAATGGTATTCGTGATACAGATGAACATCTCTTCTCTACAGTCGTTGGTCTTTAAGATTTCATCATGAACCCGTCCCCCCCCCATTTGTCGATTCGAATCGACAGAGGCAGAATCTAATCTGTTTACTGCAGCTGACCTAACAGGAAGAAAACGAGCTTGTCGAAAACAATTACTGATATACTTTGTACATTGTACTTGGTTTCCTGAAAATCTAATCGATATCTATGTCCCCACCTACCCTCGTTTCTGTCACTTCTGTTTGACGTCTGTTTCAAAAGATTTAACCTGTAGCCGACATTTTTAGTGTACTCGTTTTTGAAATTGTGTGTACAAACCAACAGATTTTTCGACACAACGCCTGTTGGACGCATACTGAACCGATTCTCCAGTGACACAAAGCTCATAGATTCGGTGAGTAACAACCATTCTTAAAATTCGGAACTTTTAAAATGAAATTTACAATAAACACGCAGCATTCATGTCAGTAATTTTTACCACACATGACAGGACGCATTTGGTATTTAGAGCAAAACAAATCAATAGATTTGTTGATCTCACACGTGCACTGCTACATCAACACTAAGCCTTTATCTTTTGAGACAAGGAAAACGATTTTCCTGGAGTTAGTTGTGATTTTTCTCTCTATATAAACATGTTTCCTGATAGAGACTGACCCAGACGATGATAACCCTCCTGGGCAGTTCTCTCCGTGTCTTGTCAGCTGTGATAGTTAACACCATTGTCATGCCGCTCTTCCTTGTCTTCTTCCTCCCTGTGACCGTGGTCTATCTCATCCTCCAGTGGTACTTTCTGGCGTCGTCCCGGTAGGTTCTTAACAAAATCATCGAGAGCTATAATTGTTGAAACGTAGTAGCATACTGTAACACGAAATATTTTTAATGTTTCTGTTGGTAGAGAGCTTCAAAGGCTTGACAGCATCAGCAGATCCCCCGTGTTTGCATTGTTCTCGGAGACTCTGAGCGGACTGACAACGATCCGTGCGTACAGGTTTGTGGTGCCCACTAAATTTTGTTTCTCCAAATACCAAGAATCCTTTTTGTTTTCTAGACCATTTGGCTGAAGGATTCTGCGGAAGAGAAATGTTTATTTGAAAAATAAAAATGGCAGTTGTATCGAACAACGGTACTGTAGTGTAACCTTCATTTTGGTGCCTTCAATATTCGCGGAGTATTTGTAACGTGGTGTCAATTTTAACGTGCATTTTTGCAGCATTTGCAGTGTAGCAGATGACCTCTATCAAAGAAATAAGTCATTCCCCAACACCACAGAAGTTTCATTTGTTCACCCTAAAACTCTACCTTCGAATTTTCATGAAAGCTTCCAACTGACAGATGTGTCATTTTTCATTTGTAGAGCTGGCAGGCGTTTCTATGGCAATCTTCTCGAGCGAATCGACACCAATCTGACAGCATTCCTCTACCTTCAGGTGGCCAATCGTTGGCTGGCGCTGCGACTGGTGCGTTTTCGGATTCAACTCCTTTTCTTAGCTTTAATTAATGTTATAGTTAATCTGGCACAGATTCACAACAATTCAGCTTCACAAACTCTGATTCGACAAACGATTAGTAAACCGGGTTCTCCGGTTATCCTCCCTCTGCTAAAAAGCAATACTTGTTATCTCACGCTGTGCTCCATGGTCAAGTCCAGATCGTCTGGCGGCTGCCTGAAGTACCCATCATGCCATTCGGCTCGACCATGTTGTAGCTGCGTCCTTCAAAATTCGGCGCCCCTTCTGCGAGTAAGAATGGTTAGACCCCCCCCCATAAATAAACCGTGACGATTTGTGAAACGCTACATGCATGGACTTATATCCTGGGGTTGGGGATATATTCCTCTCGTGTTTTGGATGGGAGTTGGGACTTCCCCTCCAGCCAAGCAAAACGCTTTTTATCACCCACGTGCAACTAATTAAGAGACCGACTTATTTATAGGTCAGTCATTTTCTCCACTGAAATAATTATATTTGCTGAATGAAAATGAATTTTAATACGTCGGGTGGAAAGAGATCTGGTTTAAGGAACTCGGCGACTATTTCGACTGGGGCGAGGCGAAGTACTCGATCTGCACAGAGAGGGAGCCCTCTCGTGATATGCCATTCGTTGTTAATATGAGTTAGGTTTAAAGATCTGAGCACCCTTCTGTCGAGCCCACGACTAATTACAAATTGATCCTTTATTTCACCTCATGTTTTTTATTGTGTACCCGGCAGGATGCTATTGGTACATTCATGGTCCTGCTAGCTGGACTCTTGTCACTGATTGGTGCATTAACTATGGACCTGGATCCCAGCCTCGTAGGACTGGCTGTGACCTATTCACTTCAGGTAGCCTAGATGTGTTGTTCATAAGGGGCGGCAAGGGAGCATACTGCACAGTACCGAATCTAACGGAGGTGGGATCGGACCTCCCCCTAGTACAGCCACCGATTTGTGTGACAAGAATACAACAAAATGTGACGAGACAAAATGAGATTCAAGGATTTATTCTCAAATTTCCTAATATAATGCAGGAGAAGACAACAGAACTTCTAATATATTTTTTCCTCGGGCACATGCCTGGACCGCCTAGCTGGATGTACCACTCACGCCCCCTAACATTTTAAAGCCCCTCCCCAGAATTTGGAAAAGATAAAAATCAGTTCCTATTGATTGAAAGCACATTGACTGACTGACTGACTGACTGACTGACTGACTGACTGACTGACTGACTGACTGACTGACTGACTGACTGACTGACTGACCCACATTCCGACTGACTGCTTACTTTCTTTGGAGCGTCCCCCATGAGAAGTCCCTCACCGTGCCCTGCAAGTTAGTCCTTTGGTACGCGACTCCATTTAGTCTGTCGTAAGCAATCCCAAACACTGCATTCACGTTAATATCATACATGGTGTATGAGCATCTGAGCATACAGTCGGGGAAAACGGGCTCAACCAATAAAATTTTGAACGAAATTGAGCGAGAGTGTTGTTTGTAATAGTGTTTACCGGGCAAACGCTTTAAGCCATCGTAAGTTAAATGTTGGACAGATCTCCTTCAAAATTATGTTAAGTTGCGCTCAGTCGTGATTTGTTATGCCATAAATTCACTCGGGGCCTGCCCTCTGTCCAGAGTATAAAAGACTGCCTCATCTAACCGCTTTTCGATAGACCTATATAAAAACAGAGTCAGGAAAAAACAGCCCCACTGAAAACAATCCCTGCCTAACATCAGTTTTGACATTATTGTCCAACGGATGTATTGGCAAGTGACTGATGGTCAGATCTGTTTCCTACTTTCGTTCAAGGTTTCCAGCTACTTGAACTATTTGGTGCGGGGTGTTGCGGACACGGAAATGCAGATGAACGGGGTTGAACGCGTGAAGCACTTCACGTGTGTCGCGAACGAAAAATATGAAGGTATATCCATGAAAATATGAAAGTAAATCCATGCGTGACACACTGGTCTGTACACCAGGATCTGTGGCATTTAAGATGTGAGACCCATTTTACTGTTGCAGTCTCTGCCAACCGGTGCCTTGGAAACCGTGGCTCGCAGTTAGAACAAAACAACCCACATGATGTTAGGAATTCCATGCAGCTATGAAAATAAGATTGCGTGCATGATTCCCCTTCATTTTAAATAGGACGAATGCCATTACCAGCCAATGATAAACTTTCTGCAAACTTTGGTAGTCCATACAAAATGATAGGCCATTTTTATAAACGAAAGAGACGTATTGGTTCCATAGGAATCAGGACATTTTCTTGAATAAAGTTGCTTACAGTAGATTGATTTTGTTATGGTTTTCCTTTAATTTCAGATCAGCACGGTAAAAGTGATATTAGTTACAGGACGTTCACAATGTTTAGAGTAGTTCTTCTGAACTTTTAGAGAATTCCCTGAGCAATGTTGACTTCATTCAGGTTCTGAGCCCTCCCCAGACTGGCCACAAAAAGGCAGGATCGAACTGCAGCACGTGTCGGTGCGATATGCCGAAGACTGGGACCCGGTGCTGCACGATGTCACGGTGGAATTTAAAGCAGGGGAAAAGGTATCATTCAAAAATATCGTTTACTCGTGCGCATAGCTTTGCTTTGGGGAAGCTTAGAGGATTGATGGTTATACATTAATGGGATGTGAAAATACTTTTTTGGGGAGCAGTTTCATTCAACAGCATCTTGGCGATAGTTTTGCAGAAGATGTGACATGTTCAAGCTATTGTATAACTAGATCCGTAGCACCTTGTGTGGTCTCTGATTCATGAATTAGTAAATGACTGATAAGTCGTTCATTACTAGATGTACTGTCCTTCCCATTTGGGCTCTTATTGTAAATGTAAACACAAATGAACGAACGAATGAATAAATGAATGAATGGAGGGATAGACATGAAAGGAAAGATTATTGATTTCTCGAGCAGGTTGGGATATGTGGACGAACCGGAGCAGGAAAATCATCTCTCTCCTTGGCTTTACTCAGGGCTGTGGACATCTTTGACGGTAAAAACTGAGCAAATGAGCCCCTTGGGGAAACGAGCCCGTTAGGTATTCCAAGAGCGGTACCCAATATGAAGGGCGTCCGAGGTCATGGGGACGCATGTGCAAGGTCTGCCCAATGGGGGGGACCTTTGCGGATTTGTGTGCATACTTTGTTCCCGAATGACCCTGAGTTTTTAAATATCACACTGGCTTATTGTTTTGATCTAAAGTGCTTGCTTACATTGCTGATTGGTGGGATACAATTTTTTAGCAAGTTTGTGGTTGTTGGCTTTTCAAAAACATAGGATTTGTGGGGTTAGATTCCTAGAAACGGTTTTAGTAACGCGGGAACCTATTCGTCGTATTTAAAAATTGAAACCCTGAAATTGCAGGTAGCATATTAATCGACGGAGTTGATATCAAGTCTGTACCCCTGAAGACTCTGCGCAGTAAGGTGTCCATCATCCCTCAGGATCCTGTCCTTTTCACGGGATCCATCAGGTAAGCTCATCTCACAAGATTGCTGCCAATAATTATTCTCTGATCGCATTGGCGTACCGTAGTCGCACCGAACGCCAAGCCAAATCCCCGCGTTTTTCAGTGCGTGAAATGTTAGACGTATGAAACAATTATAAGGAGTGACTCTCGTCAGATCGACTGTTGCAGTCGTTGGAAAGAACTCTTGGACGCCTTATTTTCAGACCCGAACTCAATACAGATTTATATGGAGCTTTAAATTTCAAACACCACTGACAGCCCTTTTGTTACCCGTGCCATGGCAAACGAAGGTAATTGTAGGCCCCGTAATACGATAATGTGAGGCACGTACGATTTCCACTGACTTTGATACACAGTGAGAAATTGACTGGGCCAAGTCACTTTAAAGCGCTAAGCTTAGCCTCGTCCCCCCCCCCCATTGATACATTTTTTGCTAATTTGTCGATATGACTTTATTCTGCTTGTTGACTTCCATGTTTATTTGAGGTCCAGTCGTTCACAAAACTGTTGCAAGGAATGGCCCAGCAGGAAGCGAGTTGAATGCGTATTTTATCTCCAGGACTGCGCGTGGCTTTTTTAATTAAGTCCTTCCAATGAATTGAATTGCACTGGCGCACTGGAGCCTTGTTGAGCCAGAGGTGTAATCGCTCTCTTTTAATACTCAAATGTTGGTAAAATTAGTCGGCTCTGCGCGGCTCTGGAACGGCAGTAAGACTCAGATGTAAATGATATTCGGCAACAGGTGGCTATACAACGTATGCGTATATGGGTATTGCATGGAGTCGCTGACTGACGGCTTCTCTAGTTGCGTGTAATAACAAAATATATCCATGCACCCATAAGTCATCCTATGCAAACAGCAAGAATTACAGACTCGTACTATGAGAAATTTTCATAGCAAAAGCCACAGAATGACAGATTTGGATGACTTCAAAGTCTGGCTCGAATCGCAAAAGTAAATCCATCCAAAATGTAGGGCAGATCCAGAGGCAACATTTGGTGGGGATGGAAATATCTATCATGTAACCTTTGGTCTTTGCAAGGGGTGATGCTAAATTGAAGACGTTTTACAAGTATTGAAAGGAAAGGGGCAATTGTTTTTCATTATTTTCGTAATTATATTAAAAAAATACCCTTTAGGAGGAAATGGCCATCTTTGCCCGTACTCGGAGCCGCCCTTGTCCCAATTGAAGTCTCTTCATTGCATCTTGCAGAACAAATTTGGACCCGCATGGTCGCCATAGCGAGGCAGAATTGTGGGACGCTTTGGAAGTCTCCCAACTGAGGGGTATGGTATGTCAGCTGGGAGAAGGGCTCGGTAAGTCCAATCAGATTAACTCAGAGGGACTCTTTTGTAAAGTTTCATCGGCCCTTTCAGACCCATTTTGTCAATCCTCCCACAAAAAACTGCGAACACCGACGATCGTTGTCTCACCCAACGGAGTAAACGGGACAGTGTCCATATAGCAGAGGCCAAGTACGCCTCCCCAGCTCTCCCTACCCCCGGCTACGCCGCTGCACTTGCCACACATCATAAGGCCAGGGTCGGATTCCCAGCCGGGGCCACATGAACCTTTGCGAGTCGACTTGTTCATTCTCTGCTGTGACACTAGAAGGTTTTTCTGTGTGTTTCGAGGTCCATGTGCCCTCGGCAGGACCTCATTGGAGCTGCGTCTTTTGCAATATCTATCCTTACGACTGCGTTCCTAATTTGTCAGTGCCGTTGGCCTACATGCAACGGGGCTTGTAAAACATGGACCAAGCTCGGAGATTTCATGTTTCTCAATGTATTTGGGATTTTCCTAACTTAAAAGTGACTGCACTTTGTACAAATTTGTACACTCAGTCTATAATAAGTCAAATCTTGTTGTCCTGTTCTTTTTAATTTACACTCTGAATAATAACTCTCTATATACCTCAACATCTCACGATATTGTCAGTGTTTAATTATTTATAAATATTTGTCATTTAAAGCGTGTGACAGAATATATTAAGCAAATTATTCAATAAAGATTATTATTTATTGTGCCACTGTAATTGTCAAATTTTCTCCCCAAGTATTTTGTGTTGCACGTAGATTCGGTGGTGACCGAGGGGGGAGAGAATTTCAGCGTAGGTCAGCGGCAGCTGTTCTGTCTGGCTCGCGCCTTCCTGCGCAAGTCTCGTATCCTCATCATGGACGAGGCTACTGCCTCCGTCGACATGGAGACGGTAGGTCGAAAACGACAGGTCACCTACTGTCTTGAAGAAAGCACGACGGCTGGATTTGGGGATGTACTTAACAAATGATTTGAAAATATGAAATATTTTATTATTGTGATATTTTAACAGCCTAGTTTATATTAAATGAAAACCGTTGAATTGATATTGAAACGGACCCTCGCTCTCATTGCATGTGATTGAGGATAGGAGAGCAGAGGGAAGTGAAGGGTCCGTCCTCCACCGTAGTCTCGATGCAAGTCACCTCTGTTTTTTTTATGCATCTTGATCCATCAACTAAAAGGGGAGCTATCAAGCAGTTATCAAGCTCAAACCGATAGCACACGTTTGGAATTACATTTCTTTGCAGGATAAGTTACTGCAGCAGGTTGTGCTCAGTTCCTTCGCAGACAGGACGGTATTGACAATTGCAGTAAGTACATGTAGGCCTACTTATTTGTGAAGTTCCTAGGACCTTGTTATGACAGTGTTCTATACAACCTCCATTGACCTGTCATCCCGTGACATTTCCGTTTCCTACCAACTGTACTTGGCTTGGTAGCGTGCCGGAAATGCAAGGTCAATTGACCGGGTTTTTGAGGTGCATTTTCCGTTTATTTAAGATTGTCCTGTCACAGGTGAACTCTAGACTAGCATGAAGCCGCGCGACCAACATTACCCGGCTGCGGCTTGAAATTGCACGCGAGGTGAATGGTTGTGGCCGCAGCCTCTTCCTACTAAGTGGTGTGATTTCAAGCCGCAGCTAAGTCAATGGGACACAGCCTTAAGGTGGGGCTTCTTTGCCAATGTTGCCTCCCACTTCAGAACCATTTGTTCTGATATCGTTGCAGCATCGCATCAGCAGCATTATAAACTCGGACAGCATCCTTGTTCTGGACCACGGAAGGACGGCTGAATACGGCACGCCTAGCTCCCTTTTGGAGAAGGGTGGTCTCCTCGCCTCTTTTGTAAAGGACAAAAACGGCTCTTGATCTTCCAAAGTTTATGAATGTGCGTAGAGTGAAAACTGCGCTGATTCTCCAGCGCAAGATTTTTGGCATGTGTACATGTATAATGGCGTGAAACAAAAATCGACGACTACTTATTAGTCTCAAGAGAACAGAGGGTAGGGTCATTAATTAAAGATGGCCTGTAGCTATACATAACATGGACTTTCTAAAACCCCAGAGCATTAACTTATAACTTTCAGGTAAAGAAACATTCGTATTAATTCGAAGACGGTACACTCTTTTTTAAAGACAAAATAAATGTACAGTGCATGCGACACAGTCAAAGCCAAGAATTTATTTCGGATAATTTCTAGGTTATTAATATGAGGTAGACAAGGAAAAAAACCTCCAACTGTGGATACTATTATCATGCTAATGAGCTAATCCTAAGATTTTAAACTCCATACTCCGTTGATTCCAAGGAAGATGCTTTTGTCTGAATACTCGTACATGTATGAATAAGAAGTGATGGCTGTATCACATTCAGAGGCGCTCTCTCTCATAGATTGATTTTAGGAACAAATGATTTCTATCCCACCACTGTAACGAGTGCATTCCGTTTGCACAAGCAGTAACTGTGTTTTGTTGCGACACCTGATCAAAAGTAGCAGTCTTCGTTGCAATTTCCGGTTTCGTGATTACTTCAACAAGGCACGCACGTTGTACCTGTATACGTGGTTACAATATTTTCTCCGTTGACTGTAAGGTAGACTCTTTTTGCCTGAAGACTTATTTATTGTATGTGATTTGTACTGCTACAGAGGAGTGTCTGAAGAGTGCCTTTTGTTTGCAGGGCACACGCGGTAAATATGTGTATCTGTTTTGACATATCTGATCACAATGACCATTCTCCATTACAATTTCCTGTATTGTAATTACTTCGTACCTTCTAAATTTTGCAGAGCAATGTTTACATTGCCATTCACTGCCACTCACGCTTACACATTCTGTGCGAATTATGTGTGGTATTAAAGTTTCCATACGTGTAGTTTTAAATTGATTTCAGATGAAATTTGTTGTTGTTTTATATATCAAAAAGGTCTATGGGTAATTAATTGAATTTAGTGACGTAACACATAAATTGTGTCAAATACATTTCAATGCTGATCAAACTGTTTTCGACAAAAATACGCGCTTTCTTGAGCTTACTCTGTTAAAAGGGGCGCTTAGGATTTAAATACATTTATAATTATCTAAACACTTTTACTCACTTTTTAAACGTTTCACCAACTACACGTTTAGAGATACACACATTTACACTGAAATGTGTTTAGGAGTGTGTTTAAATGCCAGGCGGATAACACAAAGCTGAGCGTGTGCGATGGAAAAAGTGTTTAACATTCAAACACATTCCTTAACGCATTTCAATAATCATTCATGTTGGAGATTAAACGTGTTAAAAAAAATTGGGTACAAATAGTGTTTAAACTAAAACGCTGTTTTATAGTGTAGTGAAGAAAATCTGTTAATTGAGAATAAAGGCCAGGGGAACTTCCAAAAATCCTCGTTGCTTGTTCAATGTGATAACAGATAAATGTGGTATTTCATGTTCTGTGTTTCTACAAAAGCGCTGAGTTGACCTTGAAAGTGCAGCTCACTGCACGCTTTACACTGGTCAGGAAATTAGTGTGTGACAACCATCAAACAGGTGTGACATGAACATTCATAACGACACGACACTAATTAATGTTCATGCAAGTGCATCCGAGCAAGAAGACAGTACAAGTATCCTTACACACGCAAGTAGAGCTATTTTTAGGCACTTGCAGTAGATCATCAGTAGTCATTTACGGGGAGGGACCTGGATTATCGAAAAGTGGGGGGGTGTACTTCCTCCGAGTGCAAAGTTTCAAGCTGAGTTCGAGGTTGAAATTAGGGAGAGAAATGTTCTTAGACAACAGGGTGGATACCTTCTCTCTAAAAATTCAGGCCTTGAATTCAGCAACAAATGGTGTACACTAATTTGAGGTTTGAATGCATGTTCACTTTTTAAGGATTTGTATAAAAGCACCAAGACGTTGGTGGCTGCCACTTCACTTCCGATAATACGGCACTGTTTTGTGTGCAAAATCAGAACAGATAATCTGGCTGAAAAACAATGAAAGTAACACCATTCGAGAAATCGTTGCAACATGTGCTCTGGAAGTTCACTTATTGAAAGTAACACCGTATGAAAACTGTCGCTACATCTTATTTGTTTCCTTACCTACTTATATAATTTTATATTCTACGTCTAATTTAAAAACATCGACCAAAGTACCCTATATGCTGACATTCCGTTTCTGTCGACAAAACATGGCATTAAATATCTGCGCATGGAATTGCCTGATTTTTCTGTGCATGATTGCGTACAGGAATGGATTGAGGGCCGAGTTGGCCAAGAGTAAGTTGGACAAGTGGTTCCTCGCAACCCGCAATGAGTCACAGTCTTCGCACGTGGTGTCCGCTATAATAACAAAGAACGGATAAGGAAGAGAACACAGCATGAAGACACTCATGAGTATGGCCAGCCGAATCGCCGGCTTCATGTATCTGTTCTTCATCTTTCTTGCGTGGGTCTTGGTGCGAGGGTGCTCGCGAACGTGGACGGAGGACCTCTTCCCCGCCGACGGGAGGGACGTATTTGGGCGGGAATAGCTCGAATCGGACGCTGTGGCAACTGTTGAGGTGACGTCGCTGCCTGTTGGCTGTGGTTGGCTCTCCACTGGACTGGCAGGTGGTGTCTCCTTCCGGGACCCGTCCCCTTTCTCATCGGTCGATGGAGAAGACGCGATGCTACTGGATGAAATTTTAGGGCTGGGCTTGCGAAGACGCCGGCGCAGCAGTACCACGAACCGGAGACTGCAGAGGAGCATGATGGCGAAGGGTATCAGGAAAAGCAGGACACCGATGACGAAGGCGAACCGGAGGTCGGTTCTGACCGGGGAGCGGCACTCCATGGTAAAGTCGATACTGGCCTCGACCTTCCGCGCCCCGCCGGACACCCAGATGAGGCTCTCGCAGGAGCTGATCAGGAACGCCAGGGTCCAGGCGGCGGCGATCTGCAGCTTGATGTTTCGTGGCGACTGGATCCGAAGGTATGTGGTGTACTCCCGGGACACCAGCAACCAGCGGTCGATGTTGATGGCGGTCACGGTGTACATGCCGCCACACACGCCCACCACGGAGAAGAAAGCCCCGATAATGCAGACCGGCTTGCCCAGGGGCCAATCGCCCAGGCTACAAGTAGTGGCAGCGAATGGTAGGCCCGTGGCGCCTATCAAGAGATCGCTACAGGACAGGCTGAAGATGAGGAGGTTACTCGTCCTGCGACGCAGCTCACGGCTCTTCCTGAAGGCCAAAATAGTGGCTACGTTGCCGATAATGGTGACAGCGGACAGCACGAACAAAAGCACACCCAGGAAAACTGTAATACCCTCTGGTTTGTCTACGCCGGGCGAGAAAATCGTGGCTGAGATGTAGCCGCTGTCATTGTCTGCCGGGATATCCACGCCCGCCATATTTCACCCAGAAGTTTCACTTGCCAAGCCAGAGGGCCGACTGCTGAGGGTTCAGTAACAGCTGGCGGGAATGAAAGTGCAGACCGGTCACTGATCCATGCTCGGGTACGCAGAACTGCACTTGATCGACAGAAACTGCCACTGATGTGCCACGAAACAGTGAGCATGCAAGCACGTGGCCCAACAGTGACTTCCTCACTGCACGAGGAGTTCCAGGTATAGGCCTCACAACTCCTGCGGTGTGCTGTAGGCCACTGTGACCACCCTGGCGCTGCCCGTGATCCAGGCGTGAATATATACATGTAGTCAGACGCCGAAACAGTCCGACAAGGCATTTTTATGTGACATAACCAATGGCGTTGTTCATGATGAATCTGTGGCGTATCTCGTTCGGATGGTGATTATAGGCAATGAGGAAGCAGCCGGAGCACGTCGAATTACGGTCACGCTCCGTGCTGCGTGTGGATGTAGCTGCACATTGATCCAAGGACACCCGTTAATATTCAATTTATTAAGGCTGTACTTCAGGAAGGCCGATTTGATAGTCCCCCCCCGTTGATAATAACAGGCATTTTTGGGAATCTAAGGCACTTAATCTTAGTGTCACGATTCAAGAGAAGAGAAACCATTGCAATTTAAGAGAACAAGCGACACAATTTTCAGCAATAATTTTAAAAGTTGCAATGCTGTCAGCAAAGATAGGCCTGAAGCAGTCGATTATCTCTATCGCTCAGACGACACGATCACGTAAGCTATGCCTGTAACCCGGAGCTACACACACAAGCGGTGCTAGTTCATTTTCTTGTTTACACATGTTTTCTTGCCAAAGTTAACACCCCAATAATAATATTGATATGAGTGCATATACCTAAATGAAAATACCACTTACACATTTGGTAAAGTGACTTCAGCTTTTGGATACGTATTTCAATTTACTTTCAAACCTCGCCCTTGTGCTACACTCGACACCGTTTATGCGTGACCAAACAGGATCGAGGAATCTCTATCACCTGTGGTTGTACTCTTCATAAATTAATTCATTATCTTCCATCTGTTGAACGTTTACAGTAAATCACGCTTTACTTCGCTACTGCTTGAATTTGACCAATCCTTACAGCCACTTCTGTATATCTTTTTCTGCATCTGCATCCAATGGGTCATTCCAGAAATTAGGGATCCCTGTCATATCTGAACACATTTTCTAATTTCCAAGGGTGATGAATTAATGCAATTTATCTGCCAAACAAATGGGCCTAATAGTTTGAAATCAATTGCGGTGATATTTCCATGTCAAATAACAAAGGTCAGATGTAACAGGGACACAAAAATGTCACACTTCTGCACCCCAATTTCCGGAATTACCAATATACATTGTATTACATTCACTTGCTTATTCGATGCTGCATGTCGGAACGTGCCTTTCTGAGCAACAGAGATTTTCCAAGGAACCTTTGCACGTTATATACTATAGAGCGTATTATATCCAATTGAGATTCCTCAACATTTTGTTTTTTGTTTGACCGGTTTGTAGTTTAAAGAAAAACTAATGAGCCTACCTTCAAATGGCAGAACACTCTGTAAAATTACATTGCGAATTTGTAAAAGTCATTTGGAAATTGAACTCTCAGTCTGCTCAATTGTCGACTGGAGTCACCGTAGCCAGTTTTGTATATGTATATATTTTAAGCCTTCCCTTCATAATGGAAAGTACATGGGCGGTAGTACGGTCGGTGAAATAGCCAAAGGCTGAGAGGGGCTGTCCCAGACAATTATCGTCTGCGCAGTGCTTTTTTACAGCACTGATTTGATATATCGTACACTTTGCTTCTTTTACAACGATAGAACTAACTGCCCAAAGCGGCATCAAACGTAGATCAAGCTGAAAACAGTATGGAAAGGTTCCTTCGAGGATTTCGATCAAATTTAAAGAATAAGGATCTGGGGCCAATTTAATGATTTTCATTGTAGATTTTTTGTCAAGTAGAGAGTCATGTGTCGTTTCGGTCGACTTGGTTAGATGGCCTTGGACGAGTGTCATTTTTATTGCTTTCAGTGTTTATATCACTGTACGTAGCGCGAAACTGGTTGGAGGTAATGAATGTAACAATGGCTGTAATTATGCTGGTGTACGTCAAGTATGACAGCTTAAAAGGAACATTTCAATGAACATGTTTCAGCCAGTATTCAGACGTACTAGAATTTAATTAAATATATCTTGAATACAAAAATCTGAAACGGAGTCGCTTCATCTAAACTGTATTTATTACACATATAGTGCAATATGATTTTTGTTATCAGAAAAAGGTCTAACAATGTCTAATCATCTTTTTTTTATAGTTTAATCTATCCACCTTCAGCTCCTTAAGGAAAAAATTAAATTATGGTCGTCCTTTTTTATTTATGCAGGGTAAGATCTTTAGCGTTTGTTACTTAAATATGTTTTTTCATTGTAAAGTATAATAACACACATTGACGAGGATATAGCAAAATAATTATTCGATGTGAAGGCAACAGCTAAACTTTAACTTTGTAAACATAATTTACGGATTTCCAACTCATTTTTGCCCCCTGAAAAAGGGCAAAAAAATTCTCTAAACAATTACAGAAAGGCAAGTTTGGTTTAACATTTCGTTTCCTTCCAAAAACGTATACAAACCCCAAAAAATTTAGCTTCACCCCTCAGAAAGGCCATAAAAGATTACTTAAAGAAATTACCAAAATCTGTGGCCTCGCAAGATAAGCGTCTTGTTCATTTCAGTTCTGGCGAACATCATTCCCTCAGACACACACCACAGAGTGCGCTTTTGTGAATACATTTTATCGGTATGATATCAGGTGTAATCGTATATACTCTAAGCTTTAGTGTGTGTTAACATCCTTTACGAGTGGTAACTTAAAATTGTTTCAGCCTAAATTGATTTCAAACTCGTGTACAGACTTTATTAGTATACATCAAAAAAGGAAAACTCGAAAAAACAGAGAAAAACAGCCAATATGAAAACGGAACAGAGTGTGGGAGACGTTCAAAATACTGAATCTTAGAGCGAAGACGCCCTTAACAATGATTAAGAGAAAACAGGTGATAGGATATACTACGAAAATTAAACAAACAAATGAAGGTATCAAACCCAAAACGCTTATAACTGAATATGGATTTCAGAACCAAACGTGACTAGCAAAGCAAGCAGTAAATATTTAATACGTAGGTCTGCATTACAACCGACCATTATGGAAACCAGGCTTAGTTGCACTGTTTGCGTCATCATTATTAAAGACTACAAGTGCCATACCGCTTTTAATAGCATGAACATACATTATACAACGACACAAAAGCAACATATTTACTCTGCTGAATTCTCACCACAAATCATGCATTGTTCCTCTTCAAGAGATTTGCACAATTTATTTCATGCGATCCATTATAATGCTACACATCGCCGTGTTTTCTACATGTCCTTGTTTTGAATGAACGAGGCAAAAATCCCCTCCGTGTTTTCTAGAAGTTTCTGTGGAGTTCCGTATTCTGCCACCTTCCCTTCATTCAGCACCAAAATTTTGTCCGAGTTCAGGATGGTCGAAACACGATGCTGTTGAAAAATGCGAAAACAAAACGACGTTTTGAAAAAAATTCTGATAACACTAGTGCTGTTTCGTGTCCATTTATCGTGCAACCGAGCGATTTCCCTGCTAAATGATCAACGGGGAAGACAAGTTCACTGCAAAAAATGTGGTGCGAAAAATAAACACCCTCAGCTTAAGTTGACCTAAAAGGCCTTGTGGGTCAACATTATACTCAGGGGAAAGTCTTGCACAGTCACTGCAAAATTACGGACGAGACCGAATTTGGCACTCTACATCAGGTTCAATTTGACCGGAGACGGGGTTGTCTCCGATGTTTTTGCTTGTGTCTACAGACGTTAATAATGCGTATTTGGGCATGTTTGTCCCATCATTGAGCAATGTCCAGCACGACCTCGCGGCGTTTTGTAGAGATTATCTTGGGAACTTGCAGAACATACCGGTTTGCATGACTTATCCATTACTTACCGCTATAGTCAGCACCGTACGCTCAGCAAAGGCAGTGGCCACAACTGACTGGAGAATTTTATCCTGTAGGTTTTGCGAGGATAACAAAAACGGAAAAAGCGGCTCAACAGTTGATGGTAAAACAACAATACAGCCTAGAGGCCTGTTATGAAACTTGGAAAACGGTGGAATTATATATAATTGAGTTCTATAGTCTTAGGTCGGTCAGGTTACACAGAAGCTTCTTGTAACTGCAATGGGGTACCAACCGTCTCCATGTCGATGGAGGCAGTAGCCTCGTCCATGATGAGGATGCGAGACTTGCGCAGGAAGGCACGAGCCAGACAGAACAGCTGCCGCTGACCCACGCTGAAATTCTCACCACCCTCAGTGACCAAGTATTCTAGTATTACCAAAGGGAAATAGAGCAAAGAGAGAGACTAAATACTGTTAAAGGAAAATGGCGAAAAGAGATGTGATGAGTGTTACTTCCCTATTCTATACCCGTCAACTGGTATAAATTCATTCCAGTTTTGGAAAAGAGCTTAATCATTTTTAATATCTTAATCAATGATGAGAAAGAAGTTAACAAAAAGTTGCCAAAATCTCAGGATGACGTTTTTTGACTATTCCAATCTTTGTTCAAAGCTTGTTGTTAGAACTACCCGTGGACTGTATAGTGGCCCATTTCCACCGGCTACTTTTCTACCAATTCAACCTTTATAAAAATATGAATATACAGTTCCTACATTGGAAGTATTAATCAATTTAAAACTTAAATGCTCACCAAGTCCGCCATCCAATGCTGAGACGACGTCTTTGAGTTGAGCAATCTCTAAAGCGTGCCACAATTCTGTATCGTTAGCAATGTGACCAATGGGGTCTAAATTCTTCCTGTAAACAAATGGACATTTAGTGCAAAAGTTAACTTTGGCATTGATTTCCACATCAACAAAATAAAGAATTTCTATTAATCAAGGACCAATTTACAAGGAGCATTGTGACAATGAAAAAAATTTCTACGGTATTTCTCAAAAGTGTGTTGGTTTTCAGACTTGCAAATACAGCATGGATTAGTCAGAATTGCATGTACATATTAACGATATCAACATCCTTCAAAAAAGATTAAAAAGTGAAAATTTAATTCTGTATTCAGTAATGTCCACGCGTGTAAACTTAACGTGTGACTTTCATTAGTGAAAGGTGTTTGCATAAAGCTGACTGACCTTATCGTTCCAGTGAAGAGAACAGGATCCTGTGGAATGATGCTCAATTTACTCCTAAGGGTAGTCAGGGGAACAGACTTGATATTGAGGCCATCGATAAGTATGCGGCCTGTTAATACAAAAACAAAATCACAAAATTGGCCATTCTTCTTGTAGCATGCGAAGAAATAAGTTCTCTTTTATTTTTTGGCGTATTTTAGTACGTTTTGTCGTAAAAAGAAGGGCTTCAAATGCAAGTAGGTTTTCCTGAACCTTTCAGTTATTCTCATCAGTCCTGAATATGTTTATTTTATTTAAAGCAAATTAAGTTGCTTGGCAAAGTGGTGTTTGGTACAGCACAGCGTTGTATTGTAACGCGTACCTTGGAAAATGTCAACCACACGAAGCAATGCCAGTGTGAGAGAAGATTTTCCAGCTCCAGTGCGCCCGCACACTCCAATCTGACCAATAAAAATGAAGGGAGGACATAAAAACCTTTATGGACCATCTTTTGTACGCCCAAAAGCCACAACTCTTTGCTTGTATGTTTTAGAAATCACCAATCGTGATATAGTAAGCACAGCACTTGCAATTTAAGGCTTTATCCTAAGAGTTCAACAAAAGTGTGATAGAGCCGTCCACGCTGAAAGAAGACGTTTCCAGAGAAAAACCTAAGGACGAGGGAGCACTGGCTGTGCTTTGATAAACGTTTGCATCATCTCTTGGGCAAAAATCGAGTTATTTTGACAAAATCCGGGCAAACCCTGAGAAAAACGGGCTATACTTTGTTCTTGTTTTTGACACTGGACAAGAGTCCAAATAGTCTCTAAAATGTAAATGATAAAAGAGAAACTCTATTTAGAAATTTGAAAATAAGGACCAGCGGAAAAACTTCGAGGAACGGATGGTAAAATACCTCCAAATTAGTCTCCAGGCTCTTTTGGAAAGTAATTTTGTAATCGTCCCCGTCATGGAAAGATCAGACCTGGTTGCTTTTGTTTAATTTTTGTATCACTCAGTTTGGTATCCCAATAAACAAGAATAGTCTACTGTGTGTCAGAATCGTAGTAAGGAATTCCACTGAAAATACCGTGTGCAGGCTGAATTAAATGTCTGGCGACTTGCAGGTCATTTTTTGCCTTAATCGTGTCGTTCAACCTTTTCCGTGATACTTAAAGACCGCGCCCCGTACCCCTTCAATTACAGGTTAGGTTTTGAAATTGTTTCTGATATGATGGAATACTTATGCGCGGAAACATTGCGATGATAAATTCCTCTATCACGCAAACCCGACAAGGAATAAAACACTCGCAAGTTCAGACGTTAACATTAACACAATGAAATCAACGGTGTCCAGATTATACTCTAAAGTCATTGCATGGGAAGCTATGCCATGGTGAATATGGACAAGAAAAAAGGGAGGAAAGTTATCCTTCATGAGGAGTGAATCACAAAATGCTACGCTCCAGCTGCCATCCTTCAGACTCGGGGTCACGGAAATGAATACCAAAAATCTTTCTTCCCGGAATGTGCCTGCGATGCGGGCACGGTCCGATGGACCGCCAGCGTTCCGGTGTGAACGGTCCAACGGAACGGGAACCTTCCCGATTTTTGAGATGCTCCCTTATGAGTCTAGATTCTGCCGTGCAGCGGGAGAATCCCCGTCCCCGGCCTTGCCTTTTGAAATGTCAAAAGCCCAAGATTTTTACACCTCTTCGATGCCCACTCGATAGTAAAATCTACGCTCTAGCTCTGAACATCGAAATAATGGCAAAGTCCAACAGACATGAGCGAAGACGTACCTTCTCACCAGGTTGAAAATCCACCGTGATGTCGTTGAGCACAGTGTCCGTGTCGATGGCGTAGCGCACCGAAACGTTCTCTAACTGGATCCGACCTTCATGAGGCCAATCTGGCGATGGCTCTTCGCCTGAAAAAAGTCATTGGAATGAACCGAACATAGCCGGGCCACTCGTTCTTAAAGGTCTAACCTTCGACCAGTCACTGTCCAGAACTGTTGTTCATAAGCGATAGTATCTTGGCGTGTCTATGCCCTTTAAAATATGCAAGCTCAATGACAGAAACCAATCAGGGCAGATGATATCCAGTGGTTCTATTTGCCACTGTAATGTGTTATCTCTGGACGATCATAGCCACAAAGTTTAAGTTCTTCACAAATTGATGCTGATCAGCGCCGATCAACATTTCAAAATTTTGTGATTAAACTCATCTTCTGTTAAGTCACCTTTTAAAAAAATGAGGCTTGGCATGCAAAATAGTCTAGCACCATCCACATTTAACATAACACTAAGAAGGACATGGATTGTGGGAACATTTTTTTTAAAAAGGGCACCACCCGAATGACGTCTAATCATCTGTGGACCACCGTACCTTCGTACTGTTCGTTTTCGATGTAGGTGTAATATTTGACACGCTCAGTGGCGTTCATCTGCATCTCTAACTCAGTCACCTGGCGCACGACAAAGTTCATGAATCCAGCGACCTGATAAAAAAATGACCGTCAAAGATAAGTGCAATTTGAGAAATTGATGAATATCTCATCTGAGCAGCAGGTGTGCTTATAAAGCAATAATGAAAAGACCACACAAAAAGTGTTCCCCTAGCAAATGGCGCGCAGATTATTAACCCTATTCAGACCTGTAGGCGGAAACCTTACCTAATTTGTTTTCTTCGGCATTTAATCAATGCATATCTTCCTGTCGTACAGACATTTCAGGGGTATTTTGTCGATAGAAGTTTTGATATACAGTCTAAAAACAATCCAAAGTACCCTCTTTGCAAAACTATCAAAATTTCCGGATTGTGCAAAATGAATGGTTGGTCATACACGTGCAATGGTGTGAAATATGCCTGTTGGTTCAATAACAAAAACTACATGCGATTGGATTGAAACTTTTTTGTCTATTTAAGAATGATTACATTTACTTCCATACCCATTCAACAAAGCATGGATCAGACAACTGGGATCCTTATGCAACTGCCTATTTCTGTTGTGAAATTTACAACTCACGACAAATAATAACACACGTTTAAAGTTCTTGGTATTCATTACACTGTCACAAACCTGCAGCGTATAGGTGACGGCGAGACCCACCAGGCTAGGATCCAAGCCAGCAGTCAATGCTGCGACCAGAGTAGACATGCCAGCAATAAGAACTACTACTGCTCCCAGAAAATCCTACAATGGTACCACAATGAGGCAAGGTGACGGATGCATGGAAGACCGGCATTTATGTATTAAAATAAAGCACCTGATGTCCAAATATCGAATACCTGATACCAGTATCCTGCGAGGGGATTCCTTCAGAAGAAAATGAAGTTTTGGTAGAACTATTCTTAAGTTTGAAAAATACTTTGGGAGAAAAATTAGAAAGTTCACAATTCTCTCGAAAGAGTCATCGTTGAAGTTTCACTCTTCTCTGCAGTAAGACAATCCTGGCATCAATTCCCCTCATTTGCCGGAAAAACAGAACGTGTGCACAGATGCTAAATGCATAGCCCAACACAATTTCAATTCAGAATTTCATCGAAGAAGGAATTGTTAGAAATATATAAACTACCGGAACGAAGTGTATGGTAACAAAACAATACCTCTGATTAAGCAAGACTGAAGTAACAGAGAAATGTTGAACATGGATAATAGTAATTTGGGGAGCTATCTTATAATATTAAATGTGAAACTATTAAGGTTGAATCATAATCCGCATTCAGGCACTGACCAATCTTATGGCAAGCCATCGATTCACTAGCTGTAGGTACAAGAAAGCCGACAGGTTCCTGTTGATGCGGTCCACCACGGTCTTGTAGAAACGATTACCGCACCTGGGTATAGGTTTGAAAAAAAGAAGTTATCAGCAAAATGTAGCGTGTGACAAAGCAGTGCAATAACAGTGCAAGTCCATCAAGGATCCACTCACAGGTAAATCTCACTTCAATCCACAAGCCCAGTTACAAGCTAAGATGAATGAATGTCAAGAAGGGCAACATTTGCCGCGATTCATTTGAACAATTTGACGTTATGTGCTTTCCACTTGAGACAGGTAGACTTGAAACCGAACTTCAATGGACTTGTTAGGACTTGTCATCCATGAAATGGGCAACAGCACCGCTGGCAAGGTCCCACAATGTACCTTTTATGTTAACGAATTTGCTTAGACTAGATGACCACTCAAAGCGTCAGCTTCCATTTTTACCTGTAAGCACGAATCGTGGTGAGTCCATTCAGACTTTCCGAGAAATAGGCAAACACGGGCGATTTGCTGACGCTATCTAGTCGTTGCAGCTCTCTAGTGAGTATCAAACAAAAGTACGGTGATTGGTGAGGGCAGATTGGTTGATCAAGTCTGTAACTTACTGCTCATGACCAACCAGCGATTCGAGACGTGAATATCTGTTCGTAATTGTGTAGAGGTATACAAGACCAACCTCGCTTTCAAATTGAACTGGACTCAACAAAGCAGTTTATTCAGTGTCTAAATTAGCCTCATCTTAGACCTCTGACTTTGGGGACTCAACTCAATATCAGTCATTGGGGGGGTACTGGAATATCCGGACATTAAAACACCAAATCGTCCCCAAAAATTCTGGAACAGGGGATAAATATGAATACTGGATGAACCTTTCTGTTAAAAGCGCCTAAGATGCGCCATACAGTATGCGGCTGCTGTCGAAGGCTGAGGATATTGAGGCGAACGGCAGAAAAAAACTACTTTTTTGGCTATTTCTGTACCGTTGCTTGGACTGTATCAGTAGATAAAAGTAAAAGTTCGCCACCTTGAAGATGCCAGAAAGTACCGCTGCAGAAAGTAATAGCATATTCCGACAGGAACGAAGAAGGCGATAAAGACAGGCGTGACAATGGTGTTGACAATCACGGCAGATATCACATTGAGGAAGCTGCTCAACAGCATGTTAATTGTCTGTGTCATCCTCTGAAAAATGAAGAGAGAGACACATCCCGATCTGAACTGAATTCGATCGGATTTGAGCAAAACAGCAAAAAATTTAGCTTCCTCTGGGGCGTCGTACTTGGTATTATCAGTCAGAGGCCCACAAAAAGTCAAAACAAATTGTACTTTTAATCATTTACAAGCAGTAGATGAAAACAGTGTGAGCCTCGATGGAGGCTCCTTTGGTCGGAACTGAACTTCCCTTTTTCACGAACGACTTTGAAAAACGTTTGTTAAGGTTGCATCGCTACCAACAAAATCATTGCGACCAAAATGGCTATTTTCAACCGATAGGAGGGTACTTCTGCTCGAGGAAGATACAAAAAGCTTCAAGAGGTTCGATTCAGGCAAAAGCAGATCCAGTTCTGAATTTTAGCTGGAGAAAATTGGACACGTGAGGAACAAAAGCAGAGTAGCTTTGTACGTTTTCTCGGTTTTGAAGCTAAATGCAATGGCTTTATTAAGCAGGCTTTGTCTAGGGGAAATTAAGTAGACCTTTAAAACTCAAATCAAACGAACGCAGGAAAGCTTTACAAAAAAGTGTTTGCCTTACCACGTCAATCAGTTGAGTGTCACTGGAAAATCGGTTGAGAACGCGCCCAATAGGGGTTGTGTCGAAAAATCTAAACGACAAAAAAATGATCTTACATTGGGTACCATCACAACTCCTGACTAGGACATCCAAATAGGGGAGGAGTTATTGACAATTTCTACGACATTTCCTTTTCACGCAAACTTATAGGGGAATACTTCATCAATTAAATTAGCCAAATATTAATTTAACTGTGGTGTGTTTAACCTCAGATGGCAAGTGTGTCGCAGTAACCAAAACCGACTAAACTCTTCAATATATTACACGTGATCTGATGCTGCCAGTATGTTTATTTATTCAAAGCGCCACCAACACATTAAAAATAGTAAATGTACTACAATCTCACTCTAGGTTCAATGCAAAATGAAAGCGCTATGCATGAGCATTCCCGAATTCGCAATGCAAGACTCGAAACTTCGACACGCCCCTTAAAAGAAAGAAAGCTTTCACCAGTTGCCGGTGAATCATGGCAACCACCGGGGCAGCTATTAAGACACTGCAAACTGCCCCCCTCTGCGTTAGGGCTTAGACTGGAGTCTCACCTCAGTGGCACCTTGATGATGTTCCGGAGCATTCCCTGGTGCAATTTCCTGGCTGCTCGAAGGACGCCCCAGACAATAATTCCAGTCGCTATCAGTCGACCGAGTAAGTTCGACATGGCCAGTGCGACATAGATTCCAAAAAATTCCTCAAATTGCGAGTCAGTCTGAGAAACATATGCATTACATTATCTATATTATTATATAGCAGGCCCCAACATCCTTTTAACAAGCTGTTAATTTGAGGATCTCATATGAGCAGCATAAGTTGAAAGTTATAAACTTCATCATCCTTTTATGTCATCCTTCCTTTCTGGTAAATAATATCTTGAAAGCTATACCGACCTTTTTCTGGAGGAAATCTTTTTCAATCATGTTCCCTGAATCTGTTTTTCATCGTAAACTGTTGAGAAGACTTTTTCATGGTGTGAGTGTGTCCCAAGCCTCCTTTTCACTTTTTGTTAAATGCAGCCTCGATATTTGAAATTAAATTTTATAGTAGAAAATTATCCATTATCCACAGTTTATTACTTTCCTCTCTACTCTCGATTTTTCCAGCTAGTTTCGGTTCAATGTGGCTGGCTCGTAAATAAAGTCATCGACTGGTTAATATCTGTAAGCTGACTCAATTGTATTGATTAAAGACTCGCTGATTGGAGTCATAAAAGACGGGCCAGATGAATTGTTACTTGAATCTGCAAGAATATTGCAACAGCGTTTACTGTGCGAATGACTTTTAAACATAAGCGCGCTTCCGGGCTAGTTCTGGTGGCTTTTCTGAATCGGAATAGATTGGCAAACTCACCGAGTTTTTCAGACCGGACTCGGACCAGGCAGATAGCCAGAAGTTGGTGCCGATGGAGAACCCCGTGTACAGGGTGGCGAATAGAGCAGCCAGCAGCAGAAACAGCACGCCGAAGTTCCGGATGTAATACATGTACACAACATAGGACACCGATCCCCGCTCAATCTCCTCCTTCTCCATCAGAACCCCTTTCTGTCCTGTTTTATTAAATAAACCGTATACAAGATAGACTATCTCTGATGACCAGGACGATGCAGTCTTGTATGAGAGCGCTCTATGTGCTCACCAGTCCAGGCTATCCGCTCCGAGCAGAAACAAGAGAGGGCAGGTTCTATACGGGAACGACGGTCCTTTGGTAGGAACTCCACTGCGCGATATATCCAGCAAGAAATGAGACCGCTGGGTACCCCCCAACATTTCCAATCGCTAAACACACTCTAGACTATTGTTACCTAACACATCGCCCCTAAATGTCTGAAAAATCCCCGAGATTGTAGTGAGGCAATGACCAACACAAAGCAGGGGGTTCTCTCCGTCTCTGATTTGGCTTCATAGGCTGCGCGAGCTGGCAGGTTTATGCGAGCTTGAGTACACGCAATCAATTATGGTCTATGCGATTGCACTCGTTCTCTTTGAAATTATCTCTCAGGAAAATGGAATCTAGTCACTCTTACTTCGTCACATCACATCCTCTTTTATTTATTACCTGTCGACGGCTGTTTCCTCAGGACTGCTGTCTTGACTTGCCGCTGCAGACGGAGTCGTTCCTCCTTGGTTCCTTCCGACTCGTTACCGGACAGCTCACCCTCGGCCTCCGACTCGCTGACCGCCTTGACAGCTTTATCGTACTCGCTGTACATGTCTGGGTCCGCAGCAATGATATCATCCAGGTTGCCCATGGCGGCTATTCGGCCGTTTTTCATCTCAATGATCTGCCACATGAAATGAACTGACAGCAGATATAACCGCAAGCCATCGCACGTCATTCAGTACATAGTCTATTAAACAAAAATCAAAGTTCCTATCTGCATGCTTCGCAGTAAACATGACAAGGGAATTCCTTTACATCACATGGAATTATTTAACGCTATTGCCTCTTACTAAGTCGTGGTAAATGACTTGGAACCTGATTTTTTTAATTTCTTTTCCTGACAAAATTTATTACTGGAGATTCTGTGTGAGCGGGTCGATCCTGCATGTGAATGAACTTAGACAGGCGATATTCATACAACGATGACTTACAAAATCAGCCCTATTGAGGTACTGCAGTTGGTGAGTGACCAAAACAACCGTCTGGCGGTGATTTACCAGCAGTTTTAAGATACCGTCAGTGAAAAGATGACTTCCAACGTGAACATCGAGAGCAGACAACGGATCGTCCTATCAAAAATGTAAAAACCACCAATATGTTATTAACACTAAACAGCCAATGTGACCTGTCCCAAGTAAATATCTCACTGAAATCACCATTTTGCATTTTGATGGTCAGTTCCACAGTTGCCCTATCAAAGCATTGATATAATTATCAATGATAACCGTAAAGCTCTTGCAAACGTCCAAGTTTCTCCACAGGTGGTCCTAAAATCCACGACTGTTCATCTAAACCTTCATTTGCAAACTTCATTCTGAAATTCTTAGAACGATTAGACAGACGTGTAACCAAATGGGCTGAAAAAAACGTGGATAATTCAAAACAAACATTTCAAAATTTGAGCCGGTGTCAGTCAAATATTTCCAGTTCTGAAGAGCGATAATATCAAGTTCCGGTTATGATAAGTAAACACCACTTCCTTTTGAAGAGGAATACCACTTCTTCACACACATTTATTCAAGATAAGGACTTTTCCCTACCAGAACGATAATATCCCTGCCAGAGTACATAGCCCTGGCCACGCTGACTCGTTGCTTCTGTCCTCCGCTCAGGTTGATTCCCTTCTCTCCAATCTCAGTCTGGTCTCCAGCCGGTAGGATGTCAATGTCTGGCTTCAGGGAGCATGCGTCAATGACCCGTTTGTACCTGAATATTACAGATGCGAAAAACTAAGGATCATTTTATCATTACACAATTACAGGTTGACAGACGGGGTTTGGTTTATCTGCCTTGGGCAGAATCCCCCCATGGGTTGAACAGAGCCATGTTGGTCGGGAGTGTTCATTTTGTTGCTAGCGACGCGCAGGTAATGAGTGCATTTCATTGTCGTTTGTGAACCAGCGAAGTGCAGTTCCAACCAAAGGAGCCTCTGTTACCAGAAAAATTGCGCCTTCTCTTGGTCCAGCTCTTGGCTCATAATGGTTTTTGTAAGGTTTCTGCTTCGTACCGACTTTTGAGTAGTTTGTTTTAATTAATACTAAACTAGCTGTAAACATGGTGAGGCACACCATCACTTTGAAGTTTACAGTTTGATCTAACAAGGTCGATTTTCCTAGCTGATCCGAGATGATGTATTGTATAGACACCATACTGGGATATCATAGCTATGTCTGTGAAATTCTTGCAGTACCGTTTACGGGCCCTGTTTGTGTCATGCATCGGCTGTGTTTGATGGCTACAGCTGGAAAATAGCATATGCGCGATGTGAGACACTGGCTAGCGGATGGAACCACCCCCTATTGAGGCGAAACGAGTGGATTCGGATTAGACTTCCGTTTCTTTGGTTCCAGTCATGGAATATGTGATTTCGAAAGCCGCTTCAAAATGGCTGGAACCAGCGAAACCAAGGTATAAGTCGAATCCACTCGTTTCGAAAAACGCTCTATGTTACCGGTTCTGCCGGCCCTAGCCAAAACATGACGAACCAATAAACTTCACCGACGTTGCCTTAATTACCTCTTTTCATCCAATGGCATTGAGAAGAGAACATTATTCTGCAGTGAGCTGTTCAGCAACCAGGGCTTCTGAGCGGCTAGGGCTACCTGGTTCCTATCCCTGCAAGGTCAGGAAAAGTACAATATTCGGCAAAATAGATTTACAACAGAGTACAAACCAACACGTACGGTCGTTGCAAACTAGGGGTGCATGATGATTTGTGTGAATAGAATTTGTGTTATTACAACGTTTTGAAATGGAAGAGACGGACTGCGAAAGATCTTACTTCATTTGGACCGTTCCAGATACAGTGGTCATTTCTCCCAAGATGGCGGACAACAAAGACGATTTCCCACTGCCGACTTGACCAATGACAATCGTCAGTTTACCTGGATAGGTTAAGCACATAAACTAACAAGTTGAATAATTAATAATTATCAATGCTGAAGAAGCATCCAAGCCCTCCAAAATCATTAATCAGGGATAACATGAAAAGAGAGAAGGATCCGATTTTACGGAAAAATTAAAAAACAATCGGGTTTTTGTGGGGTTGGGGGAATGTGAAGATAGCAAAATGAGTGAACACAATGTACATGTATTCTGTTGGAGAGAGATTCACATACCTTCTGGTATTTCCACGTTGATACCTGACAACACTGGTGCACTTGTCTCAGAATCCCAAAGAAAACTTCCGTTTGATATCTTTAAAACACGAATCCATAAAGAAAGTTCCAAAAAAATGAAGAGCAAAAAAATACAAACGAACTAATTAAAGTAACTTAGTGTGATTGCTGAAATTTTGCTCTGTTTTCCTTTTTTGTTTTTTGTCTTAACTAATGACTTTGGTATTTTTTTCAAATGGATGCACATAATGTTGACCCTCTGTGCACACACTTTCGTAATAAACCACCGCAAAAAGATAAGACAACATGGGTCTATTTTGCTCTTACAAACAGCTCTTACAGGTCATCCAAATATGACTGTGTATTGGGGGCATTTGTTGAACTGCCTAAATTCATTTTCTGAAGTCAACGCAACTTCATATGCTCACTTTGATTGCTACGCCGTGTGGCAGTCTTGTGCCCAATCCGTTATGGACTGACCGCTCCTGGTGGTGGATGGCCGATCCGTATTGTGAATTTCGGCTGCCCTTCGTCTGCTTCCGGCCACGGTCGCCATTCCCGAGCAATCGCGATTTCTCTGTGCCCGATGTTTCGTCTTCAAACTCAGATGCACTACTGGTGATCATCACAAGGCCTGGTTTCCTGTACACGATTGTTGTGTCGGCCTACCAACAAGAAGAGAAAAGTGGGCACTGACCAATGTATTTATGCGTTTGATTTCTCCCAATGCGGGCGATTCACAATAGTACGCCTCCAAGAGTTTGCAACGTGTTGGCCAATCACAGCGCGCGAAATCTGTCGACCCTATTCAAACGCGCATTGGGTCGACGGATTTCACGCATCGTGATTGGCCCAAGCATTGCAAACTCTTGGAGGCGCACTATTGTGAATCGCCCATATTGGAGAACAAATGCTACGCATTGCGTTGCGTGCACTTTCAAATGCATTTTTCAAAAACCGGACGAGTGTCCTTTTTTTAGACATCAGTGGATTTTTTTTTCAAGAAATACTGAGTTGTGCACATGAAAAAGAGAAAAATGCATGGAAAGAAGACTGGCCAAGGTATGCGTAGCTGTGAATTAGCCGGAGAGCGGTAGAAAATTGAATCGAGAAAAGGAATATCATGTCACAAGTAGTTCCTCTTTCATGAGTCTTATAATTTATGTATAACATTACTGAATGTAAGAACTAAAACGTATTGAATTACCAGTGGATGTTAATTTATATACTGGGGGTGGTCGGTGCGTAAGTATGTGGACACCATTGATCGGTCACGCATTTTGCGCACAAACAATGCGCGATGTCCAATCCAGTCTTTATAATAGAAATCTTAAGCTTGACACGAGCGTGCTTTGTCCACAACCATAGCAGAACCGGAGTACTGGCTTGTAGTTCTCTTTACCGAATGACACTATAATGAATTGATCCCAAACATGCTTACTGGGCCAGCTTGCCGCTCAGCACCATTCTGCCCGCGGTCCACGTCGCTCTCGTCCTCCACCTCAGGGCCCGACAGAAACTTCTGGACTCGATTCGTGCTGACAACACCGTTGATGAACATCAGGAGGCTCATTGGGAGCATCATTAGGGGCATGGTCAGCATGTTGAAAAGGGAGAGAGCCGAAAAGGTCACTTCTGGTGTCAGCGGGCTACCGGTAAGGGCGGTGTAGGTCCCAAAACCCTAGAATGGGATACGAACGAAAACAGAAGCCGAATCCCGGTACATTGATCCACCATCATAGTTACGTTTGGTGCATATTTCATCATCGTTTGTATAGGCATCTATCCACAAGTGAAGAATTTCCACACTCAATGCATGTGTCATGACTATGTCAATTAGTGATGTTTGTCCAAAATGAAGTTGTTGCAGAATAATGAAAGCAGTCTCTATCCTTCACCTATCCCATAACTTACTAGCTTGGGGGTGGAGTAGCTATGCATTAATTCATGCCACACTAGTCCAAACGCTCGCTAAGGTAAAAATGCTTATCTGAAAACAGTCGTCGTGACGGCTTCATGGCTGGGAACGATACGAACTTTAGTCTCCAATGGCAAACACAGTTTGCAGGCTTTTCATCATGTCCTCGTCGTGGAGCAAAGAGGTTTTTTTAAATAATCATCCAGATAGGTTTCCAAAGGTATAAGCTACTGCACTATGCCCCCAGAAAAAAAAGATACTAATGTTGATATCATAGTATTACTATAGTTTTATTGACCATGTGTACCATTTGGGTGTCAGGGTTTGTAGTGTTTCAAGGTTTGGGTGTGTGAACTATAAAGTCTAATCTGGATAAAGTCAAGTGGGCATAAGGGTCGTTTGATGCTGCTAGCTTAGATAAGGCGAAATATTCACTTACCACAATTGTGACAAATATAGGCGTAGAAAGTGTCAAAAGAACTGGGAAACAGAACAGAGGAATAAAGGATTATTCGTATTACACGCATGTGTTTGAACAATGTTGATAATTAGGAAAAAAACCTGTAGGCCCCTTCTCCAACCACAGACCACGCCCCAAAAAAGGACTATTTCCCTACCAAGCATACTCAGAAGCCTGCTTAGGAAGGTTTCCGTCTGGTTTATTAAAATAAAAAACAGGAAAATGCAAGGTATGGAGCTTGTTTTGGTCCAGGAATGGACCAACATGCATCTTCTGCGTTGAAATCAGGAACGTCCCACATCGAAGGAAAATTTATCCTTACTTGGTCGAGAATGGACAGGATGAAATCTACTCCTCTTTCCCGGGGTGTGAGAAGGTAAATGAAGTTGGTTCTTTTACAGGTTAGGTTAATAGGATAAAATTCTGGCTTTAAAATAAAAAGTTCACTTGCTAACAGGTCGAACTTACTTGTGGTTACGAAGCCAAAGTTGATCTTGAGCAGGTTACCAAGTTCCTTTTCCCTGATGGTTTCGATAGCCTTGCAGTAGAGTCCTTCCCAAGCGTACAGCTTCAGAAGCTTAATGCCTTGCAGCAACTCGTTGGTTTTCTTGAGGCGTTCATCGGAGCACACCTGAAATAGGTAACAGCAGTCTGAAGCTGGCGATGATCCTTATAAGGCTGATGCAAGATAGTACGTAAATAGAGCGAGGGTTTGAATTTCTGAGTGTGTTTTGGTTGTTCTTAACCTTTGGAGCATCATTTTGAAAAACGTGATCTTACACTCGCATATCACAGACGATATGTTTTCAGATTGGTACTCGGTTTCATAATCATGACGATTTTGCCGAAAAAGACGTAAATTGATTGACAATTTCATCTGGGGATTGTCCAAAATTTTCGGGCATCCGCCTTGAGCTAAAACATGCCCAATCGGTTGGAAAAGAGCCATGGTGGTCAGAAGTGTTCGGTTTATGTTGGTAGCTATACGCCACCACAGTGCACGCATTCCATAGTCGTTCGTGAACCAGCGAAGTGCAGTTCCTATCAAAGGAACCCTTCGTTGCTGGGAAAATTGCGCCCTCTCTTGGTCGCGCTCGAGGCTCATTGGACTCATGTCATGTTCAAGAACCAGACTAGCTGAGGTCAGTATATTACCCATGAAAGATTGTCCTTGCTTGTTCGAATTTTTTCTGCTCACCAGTAATTTCTTTTGTTGCTTGCCTATCAGTGCAGCAATTTTGAACTGGACAGGAGCAAGCACAAGGAACACAGAGGCACCAATCAGCGCAGGATAGCCCATCTGGACGTAGAGCAGCGCTAGGTTCACGGCCAACTGTTCATTTAAACATCACAGAAGAGAAATACATATTTTACGTGTCTGTACCTGTTGGTAGAATAAAGATTTTTTACCCTGAAATTATCAAATAGAAGTGATACTAAAAACTCATGCTCCTCTTTTCTCCAATAAATTGTAATCGGACAAAAGAGGTTCGATCCATTCTAATGGCTGGGGAAAAATTACAGGAAAGTGAATAGCCTTCATATGAGTCCAAATAGTGGGAAAAGCATCCAACTGGACTACCGACCACAGTTCACAAACCACGCTTTTAGTGCAAACTGCCAACATTCTGAGCGTGGAAGAAATACAGGTTTTATCATCGTTTTATGTGACTCATATGCCAAGCTAATTATAGGCTTGACGTCGCTAACGAGTTGAATCGATATTTTTTCGCTGGAATAAAACAAAACTGGTCTTTATCAACAGGAAGCAAACTGAAGAAAAGAGAAAAAGACAGAGCGACAGCAAGACTTCCATGCATACCTGGATTCAAAAGACTGACATTCGTATTTATAAATGCACTAGACCTCACTTAATACTGTTATATCTGCCATGTAATTTAGGGGCCACTGTAATATATTACCAGCACGCTCAGAAAGGTGGCTGCCCCTTCCCCAAAATAATTTGAAAACTGATGAGAGAAAGGCAATTTTTGGGACTACATGTGTTTCATTCCCCTTCTTTCAATAAACGTCTCAAAAGTAGCCTCAACCCTCAAGACGACATGAAAGGAAAGATTGGTTTGCAATCCAACCTTGTTCGGGCGGTTCACGTCATTTGGCTGGCCATAGTAATGTTTTACCGGAGGGCTCAGTAGGCCTACGGTGGCATTTCGCCGTACAAAACTCCCTTATTACAAAAAGGTTGGTAGCCAGATCGAGTACAAACAAGTTTTACCTGGCGCTTACGCCTACTTTTTTTTACCTGCACCGGGATAGCCCACAGGTTATTAACCATCTGAAACATGAATTGGATGGCGTTGGGGTCGACCGACATGTGGTTGGTGATCTGACCCATGTTCATCTTTCCGCCCGTCGTGGCCACGGTGGACAAGCGAAGCGACTTTTCGTAAACCATTGTCTGTAGAATAATAAGAATCTCAAATTAACTATCTAGGGCTTAATAATCCAAACTTTAAAATCCAATTTTGATTCTTTAATATGCCTCCATAAACATTTCACATATGGATTTAGGGTTTTGACGGGTGAGCAGTTTTATTTGTGATCAAATGCATGATCGGGGGTTTTGGAAATATTCATGGAATAGCTACTGAAAAGAAAACTCGCCTGGACATCAGTTGACATCAGCGGGCTTTACGGCTTGTTATAACTTCTGCATATTTATCTACAAAGGATACTTGGAGCTCAATAAATAATTAGGGCCTTCTTTTATTCTTCGTATCTTTTCTTTTTTTTTGGCCCTTTTTGATTATTTTTCTGTCATGGAGGGTTAACCTCCGTGCTCGTCACTTTTATCCTTCCATAAAAGAGAATCACTATACAAGCTATAGTAGCTGTTTTAATGGCAACTTTGTAAACAAAAGTAAAAAACCATAAAGATGTAATATAATTGTCGGAGAATTAGTTGGACCCTGGTTTTGTTGACCCCGAAAGTACACTACTGACTGCCCAACAAGACGACGTAACCTTCTAAGTTGAAGGAAGAAAGGCAGAAACCTGAATTGCAGCCCGCACATTGAGTCCTTCGATGATGGCAATGTAAAAGTGCGTCTGTAAGCAGAGGAAGTTGATCATCGAAGCTAAGAACATGACTATGACCAGCACAAATCCGTTCTTGAAAAAGTCCTCCACTTTAACGTACCCTGGGCTGGTCTGTTTAGGAAATATTGTTAACAAACACACCAGGATGAGAACAGAAAACAATAAACCTTGAAAGTCATGCAACTGACTTCAGTGGTCTTGTTTATGAGAGCGTTTAGTCAAAGGCTATCCCCAAATTCATATCCCAACTGACATTTGCTTGTCCCAGTTGGGGTAAAATATCAACGCATTGGCTAAGCTTTCTGTAGGCCAACTGTTCTGGCTTTCGTATCTCGCTGGCATGTAAATAACACAATGACTTATCGAACTATGGGCATCATAATAATGAGTTCGACTATTTGGAAAATGCCAGGCCATACACCGCATACTACCGAATGCAGATCTTTGGACACCAATAAGATCAATTCGTAAATAACACTGAATTGCAAACATAACTTTCCATCATTCGTCGAGGAAATTTGACAAATTTGTCGCATGTTCGTCTTGCAGCTTGCCGTCGAGGCTGCAGTGGACAAGCAAAGCGACTTCTCATCAACCTACTGTCTGCAAAGGTTCCTTCGTTTTGTGTGTTATAATATTTCCTCGTAAGTGTTCTTTTTTATCAACCTTATTTGAATGAAAGAGACAACATGGAATTTTCAGTCGGGATAATAAAGTTGAACTGAAGTGAATTCAATGGAATTGATTGAACAACCGTAAGATAAGCATTTTCCATTACTAGAGGCTGACCACCTGAACAAGGCGTGTAAGACTTTCTAACGGTGTTTAAAAATCGATAGAGAACGAAAAACGTCTTGTATAAAAGTCCTTCGTAATCTTCATAACAAATTTATCTCTTGTACCAAAATAGAGTAGGCCTACTTCGATTGGCAATCTTTTTTAAAAGGCAGATGCCCAAATTCGTTAAATAAAATTCATTTCTTGTAGCAAAATAGAGTACTTCGATTGGTAATCTTTTCAAAAAGGCAGATTCCACATTCCTTTACTAAAATTCATCTCTTGTAGCAAAATAGAGTACTTAGATTGGCAAAAAGGCAGATGTCCACATTCGTTTTCCGTACAAGCGTAAATAGCATGAGAGGAAATTGAGGATACATCCAACCAACCTCAGTAGTAAGGCAGCTGGTTTTGATGATGTAAGCCCGATTGTAATGACAGTCCAGGTGTATTCTAAGGAATTCATCGGCTAAAATCCATGACTACGGGAATCGTGATGCACGATATGTGGCAAAGAAACACCCGTCCCCCTCTTTTGTATTTTCTTTTTGTCTTTTTTTTTAATTTCTTTCAGAATTTTATTTGGGGGAGGGGGTGCAGTGTGTAGAATAGCCGAGGATATGTATAAAGCTTATACATCACATAGGTGTATCCCATTCCCGTAGATCGTGATGGGTATCATGGAAAAGTTAGGTTAAGCATAGTTCACAAAGAGGTCAATAATTATGAAATTAGTAACTATTCACCCATTACAGTTTTTCTTAACGTTTTCCAAGGCTTTCGAAAGTAAATTCATAAAAGACAAATGTTCCATAAATATCCTTATCAGAATTATACTTTGGAATTAGTTCAAAGGTTCCACCGCTTTGCACCCAGTTTACGACCGTTCGTGATGTAAACAGAATGTTTAAGTCCATAGACGACAAAAAGATCTCTATCAGCGTATATTTAGATGCCTTGGACACAATGAATCATCATAAATTGATTTCTAAAATAGTATTATTGTATTGGTTACAGAGCTTTAGACTGGTAAGGTTTAAGAGTTATATGTCTGATGGAAAAGAAGTTCTGTTCCATAAAAATTATGCAGTGTCCGCAAACAAGACCATTTCTTGTTGAGTTCCACTAGACCCTGTTTTATGGCAACGTTTAATTGATCCTGTTCACAACATTTGCATTACATCTGACACAACTTGAAGTTACTTTGTCTGCTCATGAAGCAAGTTTGACGTAAATCTTAAGTAGCGTAGATGTTGCTGTAAAGTAACCTTTATCGAGAATTTCCTAAACTGCAATTCTGCTCATATTTCAAGGATATAAGCGTGCAATATTGTGCGTCCCCTTGAGACGCACACTGAACGATTTTTTCAAAGATACCATGCTGAGACAGCCTGATACAAAACAGTTTCGTCATTAGGCGCAGCATAAATGTAAATACCACACAGCATATCGCTGGCCGTTACCGCTTTACCACTCGTCTGTTTAAAGCAAACCCTAAGTATCCAAGCAATACCCACGGCATGTCTAAATTCAAGAATTAAGACAGAGACGCACTTACCGGTGCCACGGGGGGTGGATACCGGAGATTGGTGACATACGCTGTCAGTGCTCCGACAGCTAGCGGGTTGATGAAGAAGAACATTTCCCCGATTAATTTCAACACTGCAGCCCCAACAAGCCGTCGACCGTACACTTTGATGTACACCTTGAACAGTGATGCCTCTTTACCCTTGCTGTGAGCTTTCATCTGGATAGAGGGTGACATGTAGGGAACGTTTCATTATTGTGTAGTATTCCAAATGTGCTCAAGCTTTGTCATTTTTCTTGGTTTTTGCTATCACAAAGAGGCCTCATTGAGAACCCTGTACACTTATCTTCAGCTGTTTCATAACTGTGCAGTTTCATTACTATAGAAGGAACAAATGACATGGCCCTAAATTCAGAATGGTGGTGACCGAGAGGGCAGCGAAACTAAACTTGCAACCATTGTAAAATAAAATTACCCCAATGGTATAAACTGGGATTGCATATAGAGGTAGTGTGGCACATGTTCACTAATAAAAGGGAGATTCATCTACAAACAAACTATAAATTGCTCGACCCTGTTCATGTGTGACCCACCATTTCTTCCCTGAAGGCCTTCCGGAACTTCTTGTGGTTGAACTTTGCCTCGTGCCTGTCTGGTACCACGCCCAGGTCGCTCAACTCCAGGTGCTTCTTGTAGCCCAGGGTAAGGAGCCAGCTCACCCACCAGTAAGACAGTGCTGAGAACAGGCTGACATAGTAGTGCATGAACAACATATTGGGCTTCTTCAGTTCTTCTGGAAATTTATCCCTGAGGGTGCAGCAGCTGAAAAACTTCAGAGAAAAAATAAACAAAATTAACTCAGGGACTGCACTTACTGATTTTAATCGAAAGAATATGTTTGTAGTTTAAGAAATATAATTGTTCTGATTTCTAAATAAATGTTAAGTGGCTTAAATTAACCGTATTAATTTTTACTTATTGGGACTGGTTATTTCTTCCAGAGACCCGTATCCTTACTGATTTTATTTAAAAAATTGCTATGTTGTGAGGAATTTATGCCCTTTAATTATTTTTACCTGTGTTCTAATGATGTTAGCTTCAATTAAAATCAGAACAAGATATCCAGCTAGTTTAATGAGGGTGATATCAAATATAACTTTGTAAACGTCGACTTCTCTTTGGTATTCGAGGCTCAACAAACGTAGGACTTCGTTGAAGACGGAGAATAACCAGTAGACAAACAGCAGAATGGACATGGCTGGCGCTTGCCATAGCTCCATGTGATGATAGTAAACCAGCGACATTACTACTGCAACGAAGGCCACGATGCCGTGAATATATAGATGAGGTTGAGTGGGCTGGTTCCAGGCCTGGTACGTCTCATCAGTCATTATACCTTCACCAATGGAGGCAAGAATCACGACGAGAAGTAGGGCGGATACCAGCCATCTCAGGCTGTGCCCTGGATAGACCAGGAGGTACTTGGTGTGGACCCGGCGGTAACTGGTGCAGCATCCCAAGACAAAAAGAAGGAGCAAAGATAGAAGAAGAAAGGCAGTGTGAGGGATGGTCACCAGACCATTCACGGTACATGTGTTGTTACGGAAATCTTCGTACCAATCATCGTGCGTCTCTTCCACGTACGAGGAATTTACTCCGCAGAACCACTCCCACTTCGTGTCCATGTTTGGTAGAGCTGGAAAGAGATTTAGGTCGAGAATATATATTCAGCAAAATAAAGCCAGTTACGATACGAAAAGAAATCAAGTTTATGAACTATGTATTTCTGACGATTTCTGATGTAACCACAGATATGATGCGACATATTCATTCACTTTTTATTGATAAGAGCGTCCCTTTGAACTTTCATGGTTTTCGTATTTTTTGCCTATGACGAAATGTCAGTCTCTTGATATAACAATGAAACCGGTAGAGAAATGTTGTCGCATGAGAGCACGGGTAGAAAGATGAATATCAATACGCCATATGCATCTGTTTTTAGACTTTCAGTTCAATAAAAGTAGATAAATGAGTTGGAAAAGAAATAACAAAGCTGTCTTCCGCAACTTGGTATAATTTTATCTGCACCATGCAGGTAGGTAGGTCAGAACCATTAAAATGGGGAGGATGCGGGACGCATATGCAGCTCGGAAAAACTGGATGGTGATATTAATAATTTGAGGATTTATTTAAAAACCAACAGGTGTATAACATGAGCGAGCATACTGACGTAAAATAGCCATTGCCTATGGTGTTATGGATAAAATAACCACACGAAGCTGTGATTTTCGGAGTTTTCGAGCCGCATACGTATCCCGTACGCGTACCATTTCTTATGGTTGTTTGCTGTGATGTATGTGGTAAATGTAATGCTGTAAATGTAATGCTGTACAAAGCCGATGAAACACCCGAACTGGCGCAACCCCAACCCTCTCCGGGTCGGGTCGGGCTGTCCACTTTTCAGTTGGTTTCGGTTTTGTGTTTAGGAATTTCGGGTCGGATCAATTCGGTTTCGTTGATCCGTCATTGAGTCGAAAAAAATTGGTATAGTTCGGACAGTCATGGTGCAATATGAGTCACGGTGCCTCTGCAGTATGACCGAGGTGTGGTGTTGATTTCTTCATTCCAACCAGGACAGTTTTTCAAAAAGAGTTCAAGAAACATGGATAAATACAGGTGCAAAAAGCAGACAAGCTACAGGACGGTTTTTCTGAGCTAGAGAATTTCGGGGAGGGATCAGTTTTCGGGTTGGTTACAGATCGTTTTTACGTATTGTCAGGTTTGGATAGGGTCGGAAGTGGGGAGCTCAGATCGACTGTGGGTCGGATTCGGTTTATATCTGTAATGTTTGGGCTGGTTTGGCCTATTCAACCCAACCCAATTCACAACATTAACTGTGGACCCAACCCAGTGTATGGGTGCGAATCTCCACTTTCTAAGGGGGATTAGGCTGTTGAATTATCCCCCCTCTTGTTTGTTATGAGCAAAAAAATTTAAGCGAATTGTGAAGAATTTTCAGGATTTCACAACTACTAAAATGTTCGCAACATCCCTAAAATGGCAAAGCAATTTTTAAAAGCCATAAATATACCATTCTGATATAAGATTCTGCATGAAATTGATACAAATTATAGATGCACATCTTTATCATGAACATCGCCCCCTAATATAGTGTATATGGTCCCCCCCCCACCGCTTTTCAAATTTCCATGACCAGGCAAGTCATCCCCAACCTTTCCCCATCCCCCGATTTCCAACATATGTTTTCGCCAATATGTTGGGGTAGAGGCAACCCTCTTAACCTCTTAGACTGCGTTGGTTGTTAGAGCAGCCGATCCAATTTACCCACCGCTAAGTATAAACGAGGCTTGTGCCGCAAAATAGCCTGCAAGAACTGTGATGCTTATATATTTCCGTATGATGTAATACAAGTGGGCACACTTACAAGTGAGGCTAGTCAGCGTCACGAAATTTGCAAACAGAAGGCTCGACCACTGGTCGACGACCAGCCTCACTTACAAGTTTGCCTACTGTATTACATCATACGATAACATATTAGCATCAGAGTTAGAGAACGCTATTATAGCGGTGGGTAGTCGGATCGGGTGGTTTAGTAGACGCTGTGCTACCGCTACTTTTGAAACTAAACTTTTTTATCTTTTTCCGTTTTTTACACTTAACTGCTTTTTTATTTGCTTGTATACTCTGTTTGTTTTGAGATCAACACGTAGTCGTTGGAGATTAAAACTTGGAGAATCTGAGAGCCAAAACCAGTCTGTTTGATTTAATAGTCGTGCAATAAAATTTAAAAACAAACCTTTCACGTTAGGATGCAAAGATTGTGTACATGCACCTACGCAGTCTACTCACTTCACAGTGATGTCGTTTGAATATAATTCATTTCATTACAAATGGAACAGAGTGAACAAATAAAAGAGTTCACTTACCCTACGAAGTTGGCAAATGGAACAGGTTAATGAAGGCACTATTTGTTAACGGGAAATAAGGGCTCACACAAATCTCATCCAGGTAACTTTTGTAAATGACATGAAATGGTTATAAAAGCTGACTACCGATCAAAACTACAGTTCCGATGGTGTTCAGTTTTTGGTGATCTGTTGAAACGAAGGGTCGACTTAAAGTCCGTGTCAGGCATCCATTCACATTTTGAGCATTTATTGCGTCTATGTGGCCAAACGTAGAGTTGGAATTGTTTTGGACTTTGGTATACTCGACTGATGTTCAAGGACGTCGATACAAAGGTGCGCGCATGGGCTTACACAACAATGTCGAGGACGCTCATAAGGTGTGCATTTGAAGGAAACATGGTAAATTGTGAAGATATTTTTAAAAAGCTACACGGTTGCCGGTTATACTGTAATCACGAAAATACACAAGCCCTAAGCTCTGCCGCCAGGTTGCTGAAACGTCAGACACAGAGTCCAGACCTCTGGACCTCTGGTTTTGTTCTCCACACGCGGCATCGGTGGGATCCACGCTTTATAAGTAGGATAAAGGAGACTTTTGCTTGGGCCAATTTCATAGAGCTGCTTAAGCACAGAACTTGCTTAAGCACGAAAAAACCTTGCTTAATAAACAAAGGTTACTAGCTCAAACTCTATGTGATTGTCATGCTAACCGAAAGACAGGTGAATACCATTCCAAAACTATATATATCATCAGAAATTTTGGCTGGTAACCTGATTTGTTTTTCGCTTAAGCAGCGCTATGAAATTGGCCCTGCAGTTTTGAGGTTATAACAACCCATTTTCTTTACAAAACAAAAAAACAAAAACAAAATACGTGTTGCTTTTTAGAGTAACCTTGCAATTTAGGATAAGAAAATTTCCTTTTGATACATATTTTAAACTGTAGCATTTGGTTGTCACCAAATGTTGGTGGATCCTGCGCTTTCACAGAGCGAACTATAGTGAGTTTAACGCCCCCCCCCTCTGTGGAAGCGGAAGCTCGATTGGAAGCTGAAGGTTGGCAGCACTGCACTCGCTGCGCTGGAAAAGGAGAAAAGTCACCAGCGTAAGACTAGCCAATCTTTCATAACCGTGTCTCTTCCCGTGCCCAAGTAATTGCTCACTCCCTGTACGTAACAATGTTTGGGTTGCAGCTATACGAAGCCGACAGCGGTTAACACGCCATGCAGAATTTTGTGGAGTCACAAACCTGCATCGCTTCAAGCTTCCCGAGGTCGGAGCGGCCTTTCTGGATAAGAGAGAGCGAAGTATGACGTGATCATTGAAAACCAGGTGGGGGGTTTCTTGGATGGTTCCCGACATACCGGCCCTGATTGTCGGTGGGGGCTTTGACTAAAACGTAAATTATATATTCCATTGTCTTAATGAGCAATTTCGAGGGTCAATCGTTTTTAAGTTTAGTTAATATTATATAATATAAACGAACATCGATGAAAGTGAACTCGTTTGTATCCCCCGAACTGCACTGTTTGTAAAAAGGAAGGGGGGACTTCAGTAAGACTTCTGTTTATTCTAGTCAGATTAACAAACCAATGTATGTCTCTGGAAGATGTCGACGATTATTTTGTTCTAATTACCAGGGGTCTGCCTCCAAATGAAATGCACGACGAATCCTATACTGGGGTCGAAAAACTGTAACAAATGGCAAATGACATGATTTGGAAACATCATTTATTCATTTCTCTTCATGGAAAAATATGTATCAATGAAGATAATCATTTATTATCTGATTAATTATTAAATGATTAACGCTGAATGCGCTGAAGGCAGTGGGATCTCTGGTGCACTTATAAATCGTAAGCAAATTTGCAATTGATTTTCTCTCAGAAATAATATTCGAAGTGCAAACCTTCTTTTGTGTTTATATCAATATTTGATATACTTTTCTCAGGATAGCTTTTAACATAATATTAATTTGCGGAAGTGCGTGTGAGTGTTCTAGTGCCAAGTAGTGTAGAGCAGACTGTCAAACCTGTTAAACCTAGGTAAGCAACTTTTCATAATGTCAGTTTCTGTGAGACAAATTAAATTTTTTATTTAGCCTTGTGACAAATTTTATCATGTTTACTGTATTACACTATTACACTATTGGTATTTTTTATTTAACATTAGCCCGTACAACACGTAGTTCATTTCAGATTAATAAAATAGCTAAGAAAACAAAATCCTCCTGCTGTAATTGCAAACTCTTTCTTTATAATCTAATTAAAAACCTTGTTTCAATATTATTTACAAGCTTTTTGACATTTTAAATCCAATTATATTTCTTAAATCGCTGCATTCTTCAATTTTCTTCCCTACTGTATTTCCATAGATTCAATCATTTTTGGGGTCAGTTTTTACTATATCCAGACTCATTTAAGTGAACCATTCAACAAACACTTAGTTTTAGTTTGAAATTAGGTCAGCAAATTTGTTTTCTTTCAAAAAACCAACCGTTTAAACTGAAAGCGTTAAAAGGTATACATGACTACGAATGTAACTTCAATCTGAAATATGCTAAATAGGAAGATCTGCTGGAAGGTATGAAATTCAACAGCACGGGTTACCGTGCAGATTATTTCAGATTTATTATCGATGTAACAAACTGCAAATATAACGAGGATAGACGCTTGGGGTCTGTAAAAAGGTACATTCTGGGCCTCCAGTCTGGGCAAATTTACATGTTACCTATGATTTTTTTATTACAGAAATTTTTTCTTTCTATAATAAAAAAAATCATAACATGGGCAATTTTCACGGCACACGCATGGAAGAGGCATGTTTATGAGGTGTGCCTAATCACTACAAACGTTTCGGTTGAGAAAGGTTTAACAAACAGTAATCCAACTGAGGCATTATTGTCCTGAGCAGAATAGGGCACCCCATCGATAGCCGGACGTCAGGTGTATTCAGGGACAAATCAATATTTTCTCGTTTCACCTCCTAGCTCCAACAGCGTCATTGTAAATTAAAAACTTAGGCAAATATTTCACACTAACAAATGAACAATGATTTGATCAACGTTAACTACTGAATATGGGAGGAAAGCATATCAGTCTTAGGGTCAACAGCCGTTGACAAAAATCAAATATGTTTTTGAGGTTCATTTTTTGTGTGTCTCTCCTTAATTTCAATTTCTGTTCCGGGAAAATTCCCACATACTACTGTACCATTTTGTCTTACACTCTATTTTTACTTTCTACTATGCTATTTTTTCTTCAATGAGCTACTTTATTTATGGTGTGTTTTAGGGTAATATAAATGTAAAAGGAAAAGCAGAACAAGGACAATTATTGAAACACAATAATCAGAAATGTTCCATAATCGTCAAATGAGCGACGTTATATACAAAGACAGAGTGCTGGATGGAGGTCTCCTCGGTCGGGAGGAGTCAGGCCAGGCCACACACTCGTCTACTTGTCCTTGTCCCGGACGAAGGAGGCGAAGAGGCTGCCGTCCGTTTGCATCAGGTTGTCGGGCGTGTCGAATTCAGCCACTTTACCCTCGTTCAAGACCAGAATTTTGTCCGAGTTCAAGATGGTGGCGATTCGGTGCTGGAAAATGAACAAAATACAACAGAAACGGTTCTCAATCTCTGAAATCCCTAGTTTCACTTTCTCTAAAAGTCACTGTTAAGGAAAGCGAAAGAATCATGCATCTCAACGCAACGCAAGATACGAGAAAGGTACCGGTACTCCGTGGCCCACCCAGGATAAGGCGAGGGCTTCGACCGGAATTAATACTCTCTAAAATAGCTCCCCGTCGCCAGTTGAAGTGCAGTGGACTGGGATGTAGAACTGTATCAAGCCATAAGATTTAGGTGCATATTGTAACTTCATTTTTCAGAGAGAAAAAAAATGAAATATTAAAACTCCGGGGGAAGCTCAGGAGCTTTGAGCCTTCCCCTCTTGGTTGCGCCGCTGCGGGTACTCTGTCCTCGAACGTTCGAATCGTGATTAATTAAATGCTACTTTCCGACGTCAGTGCAAAATAAGAAACAGCGAAAATTTACAGATTACTCTGTAGTTCTTTTACTTATACTCTGCTAAAATTCAATCAACATAGGTTAATTGAAATACAGCTTTCCATATCTTTACCTTTCAACTTCTAGCCTCATTTGTTCCCATTTCAAGTGTGTTCCTGAGCTTTTTTAATGACGACACGAATTTCACCATTGGAAAACAATGATTGGGCAGAATTTACAATGTTGCGCCGTCCCCGTTATCAACGATTACCAACATGCAATCGATGTGCGTTTTGTACTCCACGATTGGTTTTGTATTATATAAACAGAGGTTTTGTATTAAATAAACAGGTTTTCTTACGGCAATGGTCAGGACAGTTCTGTCGGCAAAGGCAGTGACGACCACCTTCTGAAGTAGCTTGTCCTATAAAATAAATGCAAAGAATTGAAAAAAAAACTAAGATAGAGCACCGGGCCATTTGCACTGTCTGAGACTTCGGCTTTGTCTCCGGCTTCGGAACTGTTTAAGGTTGTATTATTGACATCAACCAGAAACCTGGGTCTGAGTGGGTGTCAGTTCGGGCATGTGTCCCAACAAGGCTCCTCGTCCAAGACCTTTCTACGGGGCACAGTTGATGTTTTGGGGAGAGGATGTAATCATTGATAGTCCATCCAGACTTCAAAACATTCACATCCAAACAGAATCGATTGTCACTGCATTTAAAACTATGATCCTGTGGTCAGTTTGACCTATCTTAGAAAATTTATCATAACTCTATAACTCTAATTAGCTTTGGATTCTTGATGTCTCAGGAAAAGGCGTATCTTCCAAATCATACCCGCTGTGTATTAATGCACTTATATATATCATTCGAATCGACCTCTACTTTCGGCGTATTGTGTTAAAGTCCTCACAATTGCAATGGCTTTTGTAATGCAAATACAAATTTTCTCGTGAAATCTTACCGTCTCTAAATCGATAGAGGCGGTCGCCTCGTCCATGATGAGGATACGAGACTTGCGCAGGAAGGCGCGAGCCAGACAGAACAGCTGCCGCTGACCAACGCTGAAATTCTCACCACCCTCAGTCACCAAGGCATCTGCAAATTTAAACCATTAGTGAATCGTCGTAATATAGTATCAAAAAACTTAGAGTAATAAGGAAATTCATAAATAAAACGTATAAATAACTTAAATAATTATTTAGTGCAGTTCCCATACGAGGACCGTGCTCCTCCCCACCTATCGCAATTACTCGGCATTTCATTCGTTGATCGAAACCTCAGTTTTCTGCACATTGGCGTAATTGAACATTCCCCAAAGTTGGTCACAATTTTAATAATATTATTTATTATTTTAATATTATACACATCGCTTGCCCCTCATTTCAGTGTGAATTTTTTTCAGTAGTTCATACAAGATATGAATTTATGGTCTAGTTTCTGCCTCTTACCTAGACCTCCGTCCAGTTCAGCCACAACGTCTTTGAGCTGGGCGATTTCAAGGGACTCCCACAACTGGCTGTCGGTCTTTTCGTGAAGTGGGTCCAAATTTCCCCTGTCCGGGACAATTTTTAAAAATTTACTTCGGTGACCGTCTGTGGATTTCAATCACACTGGTAAATCGCTCTTCAAACGGTATCTAAGTAAGGACTCATGGAAGCAACAGCAAATACGAACTCGGTAATCGACAGCAGGGTTAAATTTTGGCACTTGTAACTAACAATTTATTTGGGTTGTCGGTCTCGGGCTGGGTGTTTGGTTGATTTGCTGTTCTTGCAAGGAGCCATACCTTTTCATCATCCGTTGCGTACCTCTGTGAGGGGACATAATTAGCATTTGAAATTGTCCAGCCTTCTATATTGACAGCACCTGCAGTGCTGCTTTGGCACACGACGGTACGTTGGAAAGTAAGATAAGTCCTTGAAGTCTAATTAAGATGCATTATTTCATTATTTTCAATATCAATCTTGCCGCAGTTTTTCTTCGTAACACGAATTAACGCCGATCACCTGATGGTTCCAGTGAACAGCACAGGATCCTGAGGAATGATGGACACCCTGCTTCTGAGTGTCTGCAGCGGAACCGACTTGATGTCAATACCGTCGATGAGAATGCGACCTGTAAACAGTACCAGTGAAACCTATCGTTGCTCCATTCTCAAACGGTACTTTTCATCCACTTTTATAGAAGCAGGTCCAAAATAAGGAAGGTAAACACAACTAATTTTCTGTTAACTGAGGCGATACAATGTTTTTCTATTCCTATTGCATACATGTGACACGGCTACCAATAAAATGGCAGAAAAAGTAGGCATAGTTGTTTGTTGCGCATATATCAGAGAGGTAATGCTGTTTTTGTCTTTTCAGGCATACATTCCATTTCTCAAATTCTCATAATTTTTCTGTACCTCCAAATATATCGATGACGCGTAGTAGAGCAAGAGTTAGGGAAGATTTTCCAGCTCCTGTCCGGCCGCAAATTCCAACCTACGGAAACAAATCACCTTGAGAACATTTACCCACTTCTATTATTACAGTACTATTTATTACTTTTTTGGTGCCCTGTTACTAGATTTTTTTAAAGCGTTCTCGATGAGTAAATTCTCCATTCAGACCTTACAACTTTTGCAAAGTTACCAAATTTGCTAAAGATTATCAAGCTGAACGAAAGCAGACCAATTATGGCCAAGGACCAACGTCGGATTGTTATCCAATGTCAAGCTGAGACATAATTGTACGGGGTGGTGCAGCAAATTTGTTCGCACAACCTACCTTTTCCCCGGGCGAAACATCCACCGACACGGCCCGCAACACGGGGTCCGAGTCTGCCGAGTAGCGGACAGAGGCCCGGTCGAACTGGATCCGACCGTTCCTTGGCCAGTCCTCGGGAGGGTCCCTCCCTGAAAAACGAGGAGGAAAATTTATCTGTGAATTTCAGGGGGATTAATACACTTCTTATATTGTTTTGATTAAGTAGAATGTTGTAGATAGAACTGTAAGGATCACTCTGAGTACCTTCGTATTGCTCACTCTCCACGTTGGAATAGAAAGCTACTCGTTCCACGGAGTTCATCTGCATCTCAGTGTCCGCCACTCCGCGAACGAGGAGGTTGAGAAATCCTGCGATCTGGGATGGATATTGGAATTTAGTCACGCTAAGACGTTAGTATGAAATTTCAGTTTGCTGTGTTTGGAACCATTTCTGCTATAACGGCTGCTATTTCCACTATATCTTATTTCGCTCTTATCACACGTTTACACGTTCGATGCTCAGAGACCAGAATAATGTACCTCTGCGCGTAGAATTGCTTAACAGGTGACATATCAAAGGAATAACTTGGACTTCAGTGAAAAGCAGTTTTAAGTAATGATAACAATCCACACTCCAAAGCCCAACCAGCTCTAAGGGAATATGTAAGCTTCTTTGATTCTCTGAAGCGTGAACAAAGGAAAGAAAGTCGTTTTGGGAGTTCCGTATCCATCATGCTTATCACTGACTAGTTTTGAACAGTTCTCAGGAATGTTTGAAAAACACTTCAAACCATCCACGTGATAGGCACCCGACAAATAGCATTCAAACTGTGTCTTATGCTGATGAGTATAAATTAAGAAATCAGACTGCCCATGTCATTTTGAAGACTGACCTGCAGCGAGTAGGTGACGCCAAGTCCCACCAGGCTAGGCTCCAAGCCCAGAGTCAGGGCACCAACCAAGGTTGTCATACCTGCAACAAGCACTATAAGGGCACCGATGAAATCCTGCATAAAGAAACAGGAACAAGTCAGAGTAAAAAGTGCCGTGTGTGGCAATCACAATACACTCTCTATATATTTTCTATTGTACTTCAGGCTGCACTTAGAAAATGGCAAACCATTGATGAAGGAAATCGAAAGACTGTTTTCACTGAAAGTGTATTCCTATCCGTATGAGTTCACGGTAAGTGATGACAGCGAGAAATTTTATTGAAAATCGCTTCTCCCAACTCTGTATGTATCAGACCAGGCGTTGTTTGGACTTCACATTAAGTTGCAATTAGTAAAGCTTTCAGTACTTCGTAATGATGTGAATTCCTTCAGTTCAGTAAATAAAATGCAGATAAACTGCGACAGAAAATCTTACAAATCTAGACTAATTCGTGCATATATGGAAAATTGTCCGTTTAGCCAAATTTTATAGCAATGAAAGTACGACTGTCTTACCAGACGGACGCCAAGCCATCGATTTGCTGTCTGTAAGTACAGATAGGCCACCTGGTTTTTGTTGATCCGGTCAATGATGGAGTTGAAGAAACGCTTTTGGCATCTAAAAGAAAATGAGAATTTAATAGGCCTTAATAGCAGGATATAATGTGAAGGAATGCTCGAGTTTAAGGAATGAAAGATCTGGAGAGAGCTGGAAGGAGACTAAAGACCACTGAAAAAGAAAAGATAGGGGCGGGCATTGGAGTGAGAATAGAAAGCGACAGGCAAGAAGCGTATACGAAATAATGAGATGCTTGATCCAATCAAGGAAAGAGCTTTGTTTTAATTACCCCTGTCCAAGATTTTTTGTAAAACAGATCAAAGGACTAAGTATTAAGGACCACATTCGAGAGCCCGCCAAGGAAAACATGGGAAGAAAATATGTACATGCAGAAAACAACGGAGGACAAAATGGAACTGAGAACACGCACTTGTAAGCGCGGACAGTCGTAAGTCCGTTGAGAGTCTCAGAGAAGTAGGCAAATATGGGCGATCTGCTGGTGTTATCCAGACGCTGCAATTCCCTGGTAAAACAAAAATAAAGATCATTGAACCAAATATCTTACTCACTGGAACGTAATGTACAGAGTTTGCATTCACCCAAGTTAACTTCCAAACGGCCACTGATGACCTTGACTGAATTATGTATTGGTGCACGGTATGAACGAAAACAGGACGGTGATCTGAGTGTAATCTGAAGGGTTTCAGCTATGGTAGATCTATTGCCCCATTTGTTTATCGAGGCGAATCTTTGGTACAGCCTTTTAGACATAGATCTGTACTTTTTAAATAGAATCTTTCAGGCCTATTATATTATAAACTTAAAAGAGGAATTTTTCAGTCATCGATTGAGTTTTGGCGGGAGTCTTTGAAGTCGAGACTACCTAGAATGAAAATTTTTCCCTTCGTTTCCAGCTTCTTTATCTCAGACGTTAAGGTATTTGCTCACCTGGATGACGTCAGGAAATAGCTTTGCAGGAAGTAGTAGGCGATGGCGATTGGCGTGAATAACAGTATGAAGTAAGGCATGACAATGGTGTTAACTATCACAGCGGAAAAGCAGTTCATGAAGCTGCCCACGGCGTTGTTGAACGACTGGGCCAGTTTCTGCAGATTGGAAAGAGTCAAGATATAGACCATACAATTGTTTACAAACACTGGCCAATCGTTTGTATAGTCGGTCCAAGTTTGAAGAAATTTCTTGGCTAGCGACAGCTTTGCCTCGAAATGCGCACTGTGATACTCAAAAGGTGAAGGAGGGAGAAGTTTCTTATGATAAGCAACGGAATTATTTGTAATTTGGTGTTTAAAGAGCTGTGATTTTTTTTGTTTTGTACAGACAACAGGCCATACTTTATACTCTGCTACCTAAACTACGGTGACTCGTCAAAAGTCTGTAACCGATTCTGGAGGCAATTCATTGTGATTGTGAGACCATTCAATGCGTTTTGCCGTGGTGGAAGGAACTTGCCCTATTGGCAACATTTCTAGTGAGTCTAATAATGACAGGATTAAAACTCGTCAACTGAACGAGAGTGTCTTGACTGGACGGATAGAGCCTGCAGTCTTGTCATTTTGTCTGTTTTGTCAGGATGACCGGGAAAAATCCTCGTCCTCGAATACTAGCCGAGCGGCAGGGTTCGGCTCCTTCCTGCGGTTCCTACCACCCAGGAGTATTTGTGAGGCCTACACCCACAGACATTGTTATGTGGCGTGAGCCAAGTCGTTATAGGGGACAGCATAGAGGTTCCGTGTGTGAACGTATATGAGCGTGGTGTATGCAATTGATGATGATGAAACATTTATTTCAATGCTGTCATTCTTTTCAATGTAACCAAACACATTCACATTACTTAAGTACTGAATATATCTGGCCATTAAATTGAGTAACATTACATAACATAGGATTACACATTTGATAAATTAGATGACAACAATTAGGTTTAAGGTGAAGCAGGAACACTTTTGCACCCCAACCCTTAGACAGACAACAACCTTACAATCTAACATAGGATAGAGAAATGACGAAAAAGACAAACCAAACAAATACGAAACAACGCCGCATTAATAGAGCACTAATAAATATGATTTAGGAATATGAGCCAAGCAACCGAGTTCTTAGATCTCTAACAAACACAGATAAAGAAGGTAATGATTTGAGAGAATCATCTAGACCATTCCAGTACAATATACCTTGATGAATAACATCGTTCTTAGCCAATGGAGTTCTGTTAAATTGGGCATACAAGTTTCCCCTCACACTGCTTCGAGTATTATAATTATGAACGTCAGATGCTAAAGCAAAACACAAATTAAAACTGGAAGGAAGTAAATTTTGCTGAAGTTTGTACATGAATTTTCCCAGATTAAGTTTGTATAAATGGTTACATTGCAGTAGGTTTAATTTAGCAGACAAGGGAGCAGAATGATCTTACCGAGTCAATATTCATGGTGTCGTTGGAGAACCGATTCAGTATTCGGCCAATGGGTGTGGTGTCGAAGAACCTGGAGTAAGGTACCAAAAATGAAATTTTCCTGTAGGCTTTCTCATCCATGTGAGCAGCAAAATTGTCGAGAAGTCGTGTTCCCAGTATTTGCCTTTTCATTGCTCACAGTGTATTGATGGCTTCAGGCCAACAACTGTAGTGCATGTAATTGTGAACTTTCCAAAAACGTCTGTAGCTAAAAGAAGTCAAGAGTTGGTTTATTTACTTCTCAGTCGTGACAGACATTCATTTATTTTCTTCGGGACGGTAGCGATCTGAAGTTAAAATCGCACATTTTATTGTGGACACGTGTTTCCCAACGCTGAGTAAAAAGCCATTCTGAAGCCGATACAGGCATTTATAGAGAATCGGGTTTTTTTGCTGTCATTTGAGTGCAGAAGCCTCATTCCATAACCAGCACGGTTTTTTTTTTACCTGAGAGGCGCCCTGATCAAATTCCGGAGCATCTCCTGATGAATGGCTTTGGCGGCCACAAGGGATGCCGCTATGAGGGCGCCTGACGAGATGAAACGGACTATAAGACTGGCGGCAGACAAAGCTGCATAACCGGCGAGATAGTAGCTGTCGGAGGATTCGGTCTGAAGGACAAAAAAAGGACAAAGAGGACAGCTAAGCTCTCAGTTTAAACCAGAACCAACTCACTGGAATGTGGCATTTTATACCTGGTGGTTCCGCAGGATTTCCTAGTATTTCAGAAGAAGAAAACTTAACAGAACTGTCAAGAATACACTAACTTCAAAGAAAATTTCGAAGGGGATCAAAGGGACCCTTTTGTGAAAGCCTGTCTTAGAAGCTAAGGCATGTTGAGGGCGACATACATCAAAGCCATAGATTCATAGATTCCCTGCAATGGGAGATATTATTTGATATTTCAGAGAACAGCGTCACTTGTCCCACAAGAAGACATTCTGTGCATAAAGTTAGCTTTTTTAATACAGATATTGGACCGCATCATGACTGTGGATATGAGGCGCGAAAGCAGAAACCATGTCTGGGGAAAACAATCCGATGTCCATGTGGTACATTCAAATGGCAGTTCAGAGTATTATACTTTCATCATTTACATCAAAAGACTTACAATGTTTCCAGGTAGTTTATAATTAGGAACAAAGCCAGACAACACTGACGATCTGTTATGCGTGATTTTGCGTTTGAGTATTTGAGAGATTTCATGATGTCCAAGTTTTCGGCAAACTTAAGCGAGTGTTTGTATATTTCTCATACCTGTGGGTCAAGCCTTGTAGCCACACACTCAACATGTAGTTATTCTCATCGAAAGTGTCAAATCAACATATGCCTTTGTAAGTTGCCTTAAATCCTATTTGTACACCACTTAGGCTGATGATGCTCGAAAAATCTGCATAAACAGAACTCCAACGGAACACTGGGAAACACAGTGAGAGAGCCGGCGCTCTATTCAGACCTGAAGGTGACCCTCCGTATTAAAGCTAAACCCAACGTAAGTTTTAAGGCTGTTCCAATGCTGTCACTTGCGAAAATTTGGGCCATTTTGGTCAGGGTTTACCTCATTTCCCAGTCCCGCCTCTGACCAATCGGACAGCCAGAAGTTGGTGCCGATCTGAAGACCGGAGAGACCCAGGACGGTAAGAAGAGTGAGCAGGGTCAGAAGCGCGCCCATGTTCTTGAAATAATAGATGTAGATCTTGGCAGAGACCGAGCCTCGTTCCATCTCCTCCTGTTCAATCAGCTTGCCTGCCTCCTTTTCGTCTGGTAGGGGAGGAGAGGGGGGAGCAATAAACGAATTCAACTTTTATTTCGGCATCGCTCATACACCGCCACTTGGAGCTTTCTCGCGGTGTCTGCGCTCATTTGGATAACACTATTGAAAATCTTGTGATCATATTGAGCTGATACAAACCAGATATGTTTCCGGCGCTCTGAATTTCGAAAACGCTGAGAAGGTAGTTACCGGTGCGGCATGGTGCTTACTTGATGTACCGTCCATGCCATGGTTAGTTTAAAATGAATAACCTTTGGCTGCGAACTAACATACCTGCTAGTGATTGTATGTGCTAATGACCGGAGGTTAACTTACAAGACTTCCTTGCTATCCTGTGACTGTATAAACAAAAACGATTGCATGCTTCCACTGAGCAGAGAATAGTTATCTGAGGGAGCATGGAGCTATTATACACAAGGAGTCAGCACATACAGAGATCAAAAGGGTCAATGATGGCCACCGCCAGCACTGCACGTGCTGCAAGGACAAAACGAATTACGCGCCGTTTGCGGGCTACAAGGAATGCTCGGAGTTGCATTTGCAAAGGATCGTGGGTACCGCGCATGCGTGTCCGTAACACTTCCGCATGTTCAATATGGCCGCCTTAAGACGGACACCATCGTCATCGGAGACTCAAATTTCGATAAATTTAGTGATTATTCTGATATTCCAATGACAATGAAAGTCTGGTTACGTCTTGCATCACTAAAAAGTCTCTCAATAACCAGAATTACTAACTAATACAAATTCTCCAAAAATACGCACAAGAAAACTGAGAGAATGTAGCTGGTCCAGAGGTAAACAAAGAAACACGCAAAAACATGGGAAGATTTGTTGTCCTTTCTGTCATTGTCCACAACTGTCTTGGCATGAAACCTCACCACGTTATCAAATGCATTCCTGCGGCATGTTTCCACCTTCTTTTAACCGTAGGAACCAGTAGGATTGCGACTTATGATATGAATATTGCAGTTCATATTTGGGGTATTTGTTCTCTACGGCCGGAACCGCAAAATGGCATAACGGACTTTAAGAACGTCCGACTTTTTGCCAAATAACCACCGCCGATTCAGAATTTTCGAGCGCATCTGCGGGTATCGCTCGCTGACTCCTGAGGACTACAGAAGAGAACTACGCATCTTCTTCGTGAGTCATTTCCACCATTAATTTACTCCAGTATGCCGCAGTGAAACACAGTGAGTGTGCGGGTTACCAGCTTCATGGCGGTGGCGATCACTGTGTAAAAAGAATGTCTAGGGTCCTCAGCACTGGGGCACGTAACCGCACTTTGTCCATATAGGAGCCGGCCGGAGCAGTTAGTCAGTTTACGGTCTGTAGGGACTTCGTTCTAACTCGTTCTGTTTAATAGCTCCATGGCGGGAGAGATGGCATAAACTTCGCATGCATCAAGTTACACTATGCTTTCGCTTAGCTCTCGCAGGCTCGTGGACCGGGTACAGGCTACACAATTATACCGCAGATACACGTACGTATTTCAACCCCGTGTCTGTCCTTACCAACTCCTTCAAACTTCCTGTCAGGTTTGGCGCCTAAGTTTTGGGCTGACACCCGGCGGATGAGCTGGGCCGACTTGCGGCGCAGGGCCTCCCGTTCCAGCTGCGTCTCGGTGCCGCTCTCGCTCTCGCTCTCAATGTCGCTGACCGCCTTAACTGCCTGGTCGTACTCGCTGTACATGTCCGGGTCCGCTGTGATGATGTCATCTAAGTCTCCCTGGGCGGCAATGCGTCCGTCTTTCATAACAATGATCTTTGCCGCAGATCAATATTGAGAGAAAAACCACATATATGATTATTTCAAAATGTTGAATTTCAGAGTTTTTTATCTAAAAAACTGTCTCATCACGTCACCATGACCGACACTTTGGGAACCATTCAGTAGGTACCATAGTATACTCTGCAATGAGTAAGTTATCCGTAAATGGAACGTCACTGGCACCAAAAGTTCGTTTCGACTGGAACTGGATTGTTTCAGTGTTCATGCATATTCAAAGTCTTGGTAACGATGGTTCGTATCCCAACTCAGCTAAGTTTGACACCCTAGGTAACTTGGGTAGAAACCTTGCTGGTGCAGCACTGGTGGCAGTATCACTGACGATTTGTTGGATAAAAAAATGTCTTTCCATTCTGTCTGTAAAAGTTGAAAATGTCCTATTTTTTGTTACAAATGTGCAAGTTTTGTTTACGATCATTTATTCATTTTCGAAGTTTCAAAGATTTCCCAAAATACAAGGAAACAATTGGAGCACACAAAGAAGCGAAATTTCCAAAATGCAAATATGTTTCAGCTCTTCATCTTTTGGGTATGCATCATGAATAGTAGAGGAAAACTTTCCACATTTAACCTAGTAAACGCTAATCCTTATTTCGAAGGGGAAAAGAGCAAATTTAAGGCAACAATTAACAATCAAACATCTTTGCCCCATCCCAAACACGTCGAGCCTCTCCGCCTCACCAGCTCGATTGAAATTGCTACTGACCAAGTCTGCTCTGTTGAGGTACTGGAGCTGATGGGTGACCAGAATGACAGTCCGTTTGTGTCCCATCAGCCACTTGGTGATGCCCTCCTCGAGAAGAGTGCGACCCACGTGGACGTCCAAAGCCGACAAGGGGTCGTCCTGTGCACATGAGCAGAATCACAAACACACACGCTGAAGCTCTTTCTAGGTTTCTTCACTTTGAAATGCATAATTACGGGGAAGGGGTAAAGCGCGAGGCATCTGGTTCACGTCCTCTCACGTTCCCAAGTTTGGGTCTCTTCACGAGACCAGTCTTGAGTAACAGCATGAACAATGACAAAGACAATGCTTGTGTCGCAGTTAATTTCAATAGCTTTTTACCTGCCTTATAACTTTTGATGGACTAGGAATGGACACGCAGGAGACTTACAACACGGCTCTGGCTGCTTTCTGTTCACTTTATTTACAAAACACTGCTAAGAAGTTTTAAAGCCCACATTACCAGAACAACAATGCTCTTGTGAGAGTACATAGTCCTGGCCACGCTGACTCGTTGTTTCTGTCCACCGCTCAGGTTAATTCCCTTCTCTCCAATCTCAGTCTGATCTCCAGCAGGTAGGATATCAATGTCTGGCTTCAGGGCGCAGGCATCGAGGACACGTTTGTACCTACAAGAGAATTTTGTCTTTTACACTTCTCCAACCTCCCTGAAAGTGTTGCAACGCTTCTGAGGATTTCCGTTGTCATTTTGGAAAGCAATTTAACTTGAAGTGGAAGCCATATTTTCACTCTCAGTTTCTATAATTCACAATTGACTTCACAGTGTCAGGATGGTACATGTATGCTCGGAGGTTCAATGATATCCCAGACCAGGTAGGAACTACGTGCCCTTCATGTGTTGCGACACAGATAAAGGTCACAACTACCGTAGTTGACCACAGTGGTCACTTTACGCTAGTCCCTAAGACATTTGGTGCCTTCTTAACCTCTTTTGCGTATATCATGAAGTCTGCGAATATACTGGGTCCAATTTCGTAGAGCTGCTTTTGCACAAAATTTGCTTAAGCGTGAAAAAACCTTGCTCGACAAATCAGGTTACCAGCCAAAACTCCATGTGGTGTATGTTGTTTTGGAATGGTATTCACCTATGTTTTGGTTAGTATGACAATCACATAGATTTTGAGCTGGTAACCGTGGTTTTTAAAGCAAATTTTGTGTTTAAGCAGCTCTATAAAATTGGCCCCAGAACTCATCCGAGAGCCCAGCTAGAATAACGAGCATATATATAGCCTTTGGCGTCAATTTATGCGTAGGTTACATAAATTAGATGTAGGGACAGAAGCACATATTATACCAACCTCTTTTGACATTTTTAAGCCAGGGTAGAGGGAAAAGGAAACAGGGGAATAACTTAAAACTGACTACTGAACAGCATTTCTGACTGTTGTCTGTCTGGTAAGGGTATTATAAAAATTATCATGCTTGATCGAAAGTCTCAAGAGAACCCTGTGGAACTTTCAAACTCCAACCTGGCAGTTTTTTTTAGTTCTTTCAGACTCCGACCCCGGCAAGCTCGGTGGTCGAGTG